GTGTAACGAGCTCTCAACCTCTCTTAATATCGAGAGTAAAACCAGAATTTCAACTCTTAGCTCTCTTGAAAGATAACTTATGTCTATTTTCGTATTTTGTATTAAAACTATGTTTATGCTAAGTTTGATGCTGTGCTGTCCAAATTAAACAAATCTAAAATAAGCATCAGAAACTGAAGCGTATGCAACACGAAAAGCAAACGCCAATGAATAAACATAAAGCCAGTCCACATGTCCAAAGTAAGGGCCACATGTCAGTACATTTTGTGTCATTCAGTTTGCACTTTGATATAACCACGTCAAAACTAGACTGACTTGATTTTTTTGAATTCAAATCCCAGTGACAATGTGTTATAACCATCTACACAGCTCTATGGGTAAGCTACTGTCATAAATATATATATAGACAAGCTGCAAAATGTGTTGAATACGAAGGAAAATTATAAATTTTGAAGATCTGCATTTAAAGAGTTTTTTATCCAAAATCCCTAATATTCATAGTAAGGTATTTTAAATTGATTATTTTATGTTCAATTAAACATTATATAGGAATGTTCTGTAATAGTTCAATACAAATTGAACTAGATTAGAAAAACGTACTCTTTGGAGTAGACCAACATGCCTTTCTCACTGCACATTATGTAGGAAGTTTTTGCACTAATGTAATCCCAGTTCATTCTTGCATCGTAGGTCATCATTGAACTGACATACAAGGTCACTGTTTTGTCTTAAGAGAATCTCTACTGTGAACTCAAATCACTGTTGGCAACCATGTCTTCCTACAATTACCATTTTTTGTTTTTTGTTCATATGTGATCCTATTTTTTCCCATTATTACCAAACAATAGCTTCAAAAAATGTAAACCATTTTTGGTAACATTGCAAAAGAATTCAAGCTATAAAATATTATCATTTATTTAACTTCTGCTCTGAATAACAATTTACTTCAAATGAAAATTCCAAAGTACTGAAATTTTTATACATGTCTTTGATATAATTGTTATTCTATGTACAATATAAATAAAATAATATGGCTTAAACCACTGTAAGAACCAACATGTCATGTTTCATGTAATTTATCTTTGGCTTAGTCCTATAAAGGAATTGCAAAATTCAAATAAATTATTTTTCTAATAGTATTTCTTACTCCTTGGAAGAATTTACTTCAGTTGAAAATTAAGTGTTGTAAATATATATGAACAGACTATTTTCTTTATATTATTTTACTCTGTATAATAAATATAATAATATTATTATTATCATATTCTTACAAGATGTCTGTAAATAACTGTAACAAGTGTGTATTAACTACGAGTATATTTATACTTGTATTAATTAATGTATTTGTGTTAAGTGAGTGTTGTATTGGTACTAGCAAAATATGTCCTACAGGACGATTCAAAAGCCACAACGCTTTCTAGATGAACATAAGTTACGGTTGCAATACGACACAACCAGTTCCAGGTAAGAAAGTGGTCAAGGTCATGAAGTCAGTGACAAACACAAGTCACGTGATCATTTTGAGGCGTGTATGTGCACATAAACCACTTCCAACACTTCTTGTTCTCATACGTGTACAGGAGCTTCCTTGGCTTAGTACTATGAAGATTCATGCAATGTAGATAAACTATTTTGCGAACGATAAATTAGTAAAAAGAAAGAACTGCGACCTATTTTAAGGTACTAATCACTTGCCTGCAGTGACTGACTAAAACTCCGAAAATACTTTGTCAAGATAGTCGCTTTCTGGACCTACATTCGAATCTGGAACATCTCAAATACGAAGCTGGGATGTTAACAGTTCCTCAGTGATACTTGTAGTTTATTTACATTTGCAGTAAGCTAAATTTCTACCCACAGTTTACTTTTTAATATGCCTTGCTATTGCCATGTTACATTGTGTCGAATTGTGCTGCTCCGTTTTGCTCGTACGTTTACTCAACACCAGGTATTTGTATTTATTAGAAAACTACTTACATCACCAAATGAACAGTATTTTTACTAGTTTATAATTAATTCTAAACATCATTACCATTTGGGGAAACGATTCGGTATGTTTCCTGTCCATTTGCACTTACACTTCACAACTTATCACAATGTACACCTTCCATTTTAACAGGCAGACTACTTTCCACTGAAGAAAGTTTTCAGAGGAGTCATAACCTATTTTAAACAACTGACCACCAGGTTCGCATTAATTGGACATGATCACTTAATTCACCGAAACGACTATTGAAAGTTTGTTTCATGTGTAATCCATGTGAATAAATTATTACATCATTAGTATCTAGATTACATCAACGAGGAAATTTACTTAAATAATTATATGAATTTTCAAGTGTGATCAGTAAACTTTGGATCTTCTGAAGGAAATTTATTTTGGTAGAATAATTCAGTAATCGTACATGAGCTCAAATGATGGTCAAAAATTTCCCGCATTAGGAAACAAATATTTGACTGCTGAGGGTTTTCGTTGCAGCTCATAGATGGCAGACGTGTTTCGATTTCTGTAAATAATAACAGAACATCGGAGAGCGTATAGACACGTGGAAAAAGTAAGGTGAGATTATGATAGGTTAAGTACGAAGTCATGCTCAAATGTTATGACGTACAGTGTGACCATCTTTCACTATACACATAAATCAACTCCAGAACCTAACCCAATTTAATTAAACGTAATATTATTAAATTTTAAGAAAAAGTATTCAATAGTTTTTGTTTCGTTTAGATTGGGCAATTTTAACGACCACTTTGTATAAGACAACACATACTTTTTTAAGCTCATCTAAAATTCCTGCGAAATAAGTTGCATAAACTGGTTTTGTAGCATTTTTGGATGAACATGGCAAGGAAGTTGCACAAACGAATTTTATCCTATTTCGATATAATATTAATTAAAATTGATCATGATGACCAAAGATGCAGTGCATTTTTCTGTTGTTGCCGTTGACGACACCTTACTTTCTTGCACCACTGTGGACAGATGACAAATGCCCCAAAGTAGGAACAAATATTTGCTTTACATCTGACCCTTCGAAGTGTTTTTGAAAGAAACTTTCAAGACAAGAAAGGTGTAACGACGTTTTTCAGTTTTATGTCAAATTGTAAATGTAAGCAATTTGACATATGACTTCGTTTGGAATCAGTAGATAACCTAGATATTAAAGCATTTCTTTTTTAGCATGTCAAGAATTTACTCTGAAATAATGTGTTTTAGCTTATCACAATTGGCCGCCTTTATTTCTCTGATTTAAGCATGGAGCTTGGGCTTTCAGAAAAAGTTCTACGATATGAAAGCTTCGTGAATGATGTTCTGAAGGAAGATCTGAAAAAGGTTCATTCAAGATATGAAGAACTGAATAATGAGATTGCAGAATACATACAGCTAAAAAATTTTATCCAAAGTGTTCCAGATGTTGGCCTGTCATCAGATGGACTTAAAACAAAAATGGATCTAGGATGCAACTTCTACATCCAAGCAAATATTTCAGATACTTCAACTATTTTAGTTGCTATAGGTTTGGGTCACTATATTGAATTCACAATGGAAGAAGCACTTAAATTTGTTGAGAAGCGAGTGAATCTCTTAACTCTACAAACTGAAAAACTTAAAAAGGATAGTGCTAAAACCAAAGCTATGATAAAACTTGTACTAGGAGGGCTGCACCAGCTGCAGTCTTCTTCAAGATCAAGCAGACTGAAGTGAACACAGATAACAATGTGTTTTAATCAGTAATGAAAGTGGATTTTGCAAGATAGCAAGCAAAGTTTCTTTGCATTATTGTTCATTAGTTTGATTAGTTCATTCCTTTCATCAAGAGCCAGACAGGCCAGTATTACACTGTAAACACTTGAGTTTTTTTTCTGAGGTTACTTTTTGTCATCATTTCAGCAATCTGTTATAAATTGCAATTTTTGCTACATATGAAAACCATTTGTATTCAAGATTCTGTAAAATGAAAATTGTGAATGCTAGCATGTTGTATTTGTGTGAAAGTGCTTAAAAGTGGCTTTCATATCAAACAAAGTTATGAATATACATTATGAAGCAAAATAAAAGTTTGCAAATACATATTTCCAAAAAATTTTGAGGTTAATTTTTTTTTAATTACACAAATCAATGGAAATTGTTGTCATGAAACATTATGTGACATTGCAGTACTGTTACAAATTTAGAGTGGCAATATTTCACATGTACAACAAGAACAGAGTACATACTGTATGTGAACAAAATTATTGTTTTTTTCTATGTATGCATTCTCTTCCCATTGTGTCACTGATATTGATATCTAAATATCCTTGTGTGCACATTTAACACATACATTCCACAACCAAGAGAATCGCTCTAATATTTCTAATTAATACAGCATTACTAACATAAAGTTGATTTTTATTTGAAAATTAAAAATTTCCATATCTGTAATTACTGTTTACCACATGCAGTGAGCATGTTATTTGAATTAAGTGTTCAATTATTCACCATTCTCTGTCAATGTAGAAGTAATTAGGAAATAGGAAGCATGCCATAATTGATAATAGCTGAGTTGGGTTGCTATGTTAGTGAAGATATAAGAGACAGTGAGGGGACCTGACATTCACTTGTTATTCAATGGGGAGCATGAGAAAGAACTGGTTTCACAGCCTACCCAATGAGGCACTGCATGCAGAATTCCTGCAAGATGTGTCCAAGTTGCTTCTGAAAGAGGCTGTGTTTGCTGGTACACAAAGGAAAAACCCAGTGGTCAGATTCCATGACCCTGACCACCTGTATGATCTGCTGAATCTGACACCCACTGAGAAGCCTGCTACACATACTGAGTTGCTTAAAGCAATCTGTGATACCATTAACTTCAGCGTTAAGACTGGGCACCCATACTTCATCAATCAACTGTTCTCAAGGTCAGTATAGTGATACAACCTGTTTTCAGTTTGGAAGTGACAAAATATTGGTGTAACCAGCATCACCAACCAGAATTTGCAGGTTCATAACCCTTAAAGTCCAGTATAGCACCTGCTTTAGTAATACCTCTGCATTTTACCTACAGAGTACTACTACTACTACTATGGCGTAACAGCCCAAAATCGAGCCCTAGCCTCCTCCCATACAGAGTATGATTCTCAGAATAACAGCAGTTATGCTAATCAGCATTAACCAAATGACATTTGTAATAAAAATGATTTGTGTAGTGTATAAGGTAGGAACTGAATTTTTAAATATAATTTGCATGAGCTTCAGCTTCAAAAGGTTAGTTCAGAATCAACAGCTTTTCATGGAATCTAAATCACCCATAATGGGAATTATGCATAATGATTGTGAGTATTGCATAAAAGATCATTATGATTTCAAATTTGTCTGCGAAACGTAACTGAGGCAAAATATTTAGTTTTAGTACCATGTATTTAACATGTATCTGTTTAATATACAGAAAGTCAAGGTAGTGATAAATATGAAAATGTGTAGACTAAACAAGCAAATTTTCTACTCTAAAGTAGCCACTGAATTACGTAGAACGGAAAGTTGGTACTTTATACTGATGTTCCTTATAGAGAGAGCCAAGAGACTCTGGATATTGGTATCTTCTTCACAAAACAGTTTTTGAAAAACTCTTTTCCACATCACTGCAGATAGTTCTAATACAGTTTAAATCTTAATCTTCTCTGATTAGTTCAGCATAAATGTGAATGTAATATATCAATGTACTGGCTTTTAAGTGTGGATCCTTATGGACTTGCTGGGCAATGGGTGACTGATGCACTGAATCCCAGTATGTATACATATGAGGTAGCACCTGTATTCACACTTATGGAAGCTGTAGTATTGGAGGAAATATGTCAACTAGTTGGTTTTCCTTCTGGTGATGGAATGTTTTGCCCTGGAGGCTCATTTGCTAATGGTACTGCTATCAACCTGGCCAGATTCAAATATTTTCCAGACATTAAGGTCAGTTAAGTCTAAGATTTTTACTAAATTACCTGCTGATTTCAATATGTTTATCATTTTTCCCATATCATATCCTCAAACATATTAATTCTGATAATTACCAGACATCTTTATAAGTAAAATCTGTGAGACATTTCTATTGATGTTCAGACTTGAACTTGCTAATTGTTGGGAAATAATTTAGAAATTGTAATTTCCTTTCTGTTCACTGCCAATCTCTCATTGGACTATACAGGGCCATTTACAAAGAAATATTTTGCCTGCTAAGGGCCTAAGAAATTCAGTACGTTAAATAAACAAAAAACCAATAAATTTCTGCAACTTTTTCTCTATTTTAGATATCAATATTTTGGTTCTGGAGATTATAAAGCAAGCATGATCTACGTGCTTTTCAAATGAAAGCTGATTCTTATGAAGTGTTGTGTATTGATCTAACATTTTGTTATATTTTATTGGAAAGCCAGAGAGATGGCCTGGGATGTGCACCAAAGTTGGTTATGTTTGCATCAGAAGATGCCCACTACTCAGTCCACAAAATGGCAGCATTGCTTGGTCTGGGTGAACAGAATGTGTGTTCAGTACAGACAGATAAGACAGGGCGTATGGATTCATTATATCTAGAGTCGCAGGTGCAGAGGATAATAGCTACTGGAGCTGTCCCATTCATGGTGGTGGCCACAGCAGGTACAACATATTATTTATAGACAAAGAGTTAACATATTTAGATAGCCACACTTATGATTTTAACTAGCCTCAGCAACTTATTTATTTTATTCTTGGTTTATTTAACTATACTTTCAAGCAGGAATTTTGACCATGATGTTTGATCCTAAGGAACTGTGGATTATTTTTGTGGCAGAGGCATACATATAATCAATTGGAGCATAATTATGCCATTTTATTTTTATTTTGATTATTGCAAACTTGAAACTGGTATCTGATACGTGTATTTGTTATCAATAAGAATTTATCTGAACATGGTATGAATTCATATTCCTTGTTTGAAATTCTGGAGATAATTATGATAAATTTTAAAGAATCATTGAATTATAGTACACATGTTATGCACAGGTACAACAGTACTTGGAGCATTTGACCCTCTGCCTGCCATAGCTGATGTGTGCACAAAATACAATCTCTGGTTTCATGTGGATGCTGCATGGGGTGGAGGGCTTCTATTCTCACGTACACACCATCATAAGCTTATTGGACTTGACAGGTTATGACGATAATGTTAAAGAGCATGATACAGTAAAATATAAGGCAATTTATGATTTCTGCTTTGTGACTAGTCCAAATAAGATACTCAGAAACTAGAATGCAAATTAATAAGTTTGATTTATTAAGACCTATCAGAACAACTTTACAAATTGCTAGCGACAGCAATGAACAGCTGTCTTCTAGCAAAGTACCTTTATATTACAGAGCTGATTCTGTGGTATGGAATCCTCACAAGTTGTTGGCAGCTCCCCAGCAATGCTCGATGTTGCTGGTGCGACACCCAAACATCATCAAAGCCTGTCATGCTTGCAATGCTACGTACCTCTTCCAAAAGGATAAGTTTTATGATGTTTCTATTGACTTTGGAGACAAGTACCTGCAATGTGGACGAAGAGCAGATGTGTTCAAATTCTGGTTTATGTGGAAAGCTAAGGTAGTATTACTTTATGTAGTAATTATAACTACCATTATACAACATGTGAGTCATAATATAAAATAAGAGAATGATAATGAAATGCCAGTGAAAATGAGTGGAATAGAAGGCAAAAGATTTTAATGCTGAACTCAAGAAATAGGAATGGAAATGTTATTATCTACCCAAGATATAACAGAAAGCCAAGTGGCTATTATTAATTCATAGTATTTTAAAGGAGATCATTCTACATCACTACACAAGGTACTTGTGTGTTCATTTATTTAATGATGCAGTGCCAGCAGCAGAGGTTATGAGCAAAAACAAAAGAAATTACAGGAATGTTACAGATGGCATGTTAGCAAAAATGTATGAGAAAATTATTGTAGTGAACTATGAAATAGGGAATGGAATTTTCCTGAAAATATCTGATCCCCTAGTTGAATTCAAACTGAATTCATCCTCAGAGTTATGCAGCATGTGTTTGGGTTTTTATTTGTGGGTGTGTGTGCATGGACACACGTGCATGTACGTAATAACCATACACCACTTAACTCTTTGTCAATACATTGAAATTCACTAAACTTATTCTATCAGAACACCAAATTTAAATGTTTCTTAGAGCATAAACAGTTATATAATAAATACAGAAGAACTGCAGATACCTGTTTGGGCAGTAGTGATCCAACAGGATTATATAAGCCACTTATGGAGGCGTAATTCTCTATATGAAGTTGTTTTATTTTAATTGCATTTAAATTAAAATATTTTGTGACAAAAATATAACACTTTGATACTTTGCCATGCCTAATATAATAAATACAACACAGTAAATTTGAATGTTTCCTGTTGCACCTAACAAGATACCATACACACAAAAAATGCAGTTTAAGGAACACTAAATACATACTCCATAAATTTAATAACAGCAGCAGCAGCAGCTTGAATCTTAACATAGCAATCTGGGATAGGGGAACAACAGGATGGTCATTCACTGCACAACCAAACAAAATAATAATCGATCTGTGTGAAATCTAATCACTTGAAATTGGGAGTAAACACAACTGCTAAAATATTTTCTGCATTGAGTACTCTTCAGAAAATGGATATTCAGCATAACTGTAGCATATCTTCAGAGACACTCGGTACTTCTTATCATTAGTATAAATATTCCACCTTAAATCATCTTATCCGGTGTACAATATTTTTATTTCATATTGCATATTTAATGAAGAGATCTGAAATACTCAGAGACACATATTCATTGTTTTTATATAGTTGTAATGTTAAATCAGGACAACAGGAGAAAGACATTGCTATAACATGTTGCTTTTATAGGGTTCAATAGGATTTGAAGAGCACGTGAATGCTTTAATGGACTGTGCCAGTTACATAACCACTTCCCTGCGACAACGTCCAAGTTTCAAACTTGTTCTTGAACCAGAGTTTATTAATGTCTGTTTCTGGTATATCCCTCAAAGTCTACAAGGACTACAAGAACAACCAGACTTCAATGAAAAATTGCATAAGGTACAAAAATAGGAGCTTTAGTCTCCATTATTGCTATTCCATTCTTGGACGAAAGACAGCAAGTCAGTTGAACGCATGCTTTATGCATCTGTAAATTATTGTTGAATTTTCAGAGAAGTATAAGAGTGAAGATGGTTTTCATCTGGGTTGTAGCATCAGACTACCAGATTATACAGCACTACAACCCAGAATACAGCCGTCTACTTATAAGAATGATGACTTACAGACATTCATTTCTTGACCCTAAAGATGGTGGTTAACACTTAACATCAAAAGAAATATTATTTACTTTAATTATTTGCTGTTATTACTTTTGTAAGATTTGAGGTTTTCACAGCGGTGAGTATGTAGATTTCTGTCTTCTGGGTTGTTGCGCCGTGTAGTATGGTCGATGTTTACCAACGTTTCAGAGGTCATACTGCCTCCGTCATCAGGGCGATGAATTACTTCGAAGATTTCTGTCTTCTGGGTTGTTGCGCTGTGTAGACTGGTCGATGTTTACCAACGTTTCAGAGGTCATACTGCCTCCGTCATCATTTTGTGTTTAGAGAAGAGATAAAATTAAAGAGAATTTTATATAAATTATGGATTATGTCAATGAAGAAAATATTTAAAACCACCGTTTAACCGAAATGTATTGCATATGATAACTTACAGATAGCTCCACGTATGAAGGAACTAATGATGCGTAAAGGAAGCATGATGATAAGTTACCAGCCGCTGCAAAGCCTTCCGAACTTCTTTCGGTTTGTTGTTCAGAATTCGGGAGTCACACATCAAGATGTTGACTACTTTCTAGATGAACTGGATCGCCTTGGTGCCGACTTGTAACCATATCTTAACGCTCTGTTGGCCCATACCCACTAACCTCCAAGTGAGGGGTACATACAGTATGTACGATATCCCAAATGTTAGTAATCAGAGGCGTGAGACAGCGTATTTATTTATAAACGACAAATACGCATTGTGAGTTTCTGTGTCTATAATCGAAAACATGGACAAGTATAATAAATCCATGGAGAGTTACAGAATATAAACATGACAAGATCATATCACGTGTATGCATTTACAGTTTATTACATTGTTGTTAAATATCTTAAAACTTTAAATTACTGTATTGTGTCTGACTCAAATGTATTTTATTCTCTTTACAAATTGAAAATTCAAAGTTGTACTGCTGAAAATATTAAAATAAATTACATCTCGTGTAGACCTGCCTGAATTTCTTTACCACATCTCACAAATTACGTATCTTTCTAATATTTTATTTTTAAATTGATTAATTTTTTACCATTGTCTTTGACTCCACATTAAAATAAAGATTAAATATTAAGACAATGCTGAAATTAAGATTCTTTAAAATAAAAATACAACAATAATCTAATTGCAATACGAAGTTCCTTGTGAAATTCCAGTAATACTATTTGTAATAAATGACAAAACACATTACCGTTGTTATTGATGGCAGATAGAAAAACGTAATTATAATTTATTAATAGGGTACACCAATATAATTTTTGGGGTGAAACATTTCAAGTTGTATGCCGATGATGAAAAAGTATTATTATATATTAAATTACGATATATTTTCTTGCATTCATGCAGCGTCTGCGACAAAGACCGGATCATAGCAGGCATAACCACAAGTTGTTGGACAGCATTTCTTGCCAGCTGGACAAACTTCGTCTCTTGTGCACAGGTTACCACATAGTGAGGGTGGATCTACAATATTCTTTCCCTCAATCTCAGCTTCTCTTTTGCTGACGGGAAGACGACGTATTTGGGGGCAGAGGCCAGGTCGTGGACCTGTTAAAGACAAATGAATATAAGAAATTCGGGACACAAGATCTGTTATTTATTTTCCAGAGAAGGAAAATGTCAAGCACGAAAATTCTCTTCATTGCACCGTTTTATTACAGGAGTTCCGTATTTACATGCCCAGCCCATTTAATCGCCCTCAATAATATTTGGTGCGGGGATCTTTCACCACATTTTTCTTCAAATTATGTCATTGTTACAATTTCGTCATTAAAGCAATCTGAAATATTCAATTGGTTCTACATCTTCAGTTAAGTGACCTGGAGGTGTTATTCCGGGAAACGCATCTATAAAATTAAGTCATACCCAGGAGCCAAGATAATTTGCATCAACATGCAACTGCTTCGTCATGTGCTTTACTCCGAAATTCTTGAATCAGAAATGCGTTTTGTCGATTCACTTATATCACTCTTTTCCGCATTTTATCTCTCACAAACTATCTGACGACGCCATGATGGATAACTACCCTCATCCAATCAAGTTAAAAATAGTTTTTATAAATTGTATTGATCTACTTAGTTATAGAACTTCATTTCCGTGTGTATCGATATTTTATCTTTACGTCTAATCAATCTTGACCAACTTTCTGAAGCTCTTGTGATGTACGAAAAAGCCTGAAGTTCTGTTCCCAATCAAGTTACCGTACGAATACGGATCATTCGGAAAATTGTCAAATTCTTGAGATTAACAACTACAGTTTCAATAAATGGAAACATGAACATAATCTTTTCACACTCAACTATTAGATTATGATGCCTTTAACTGCTTCGTGTAAAAGCCCCAGAGTTAAAATGTATCTGTTACCACACACAAGATATATTTTATTCGGAAGCAATAGCCACTTACATATTCTGGAAGTAAGCAAGGGAAGAGACGGCAGTGCTGGAGGACCGATCGTCCGGACCGTGTCGGTATCACCAGTTGCACACACCAAGAAGACCATCAAAGCTGCTAAAACCAAAGACATTCTTACAAATACGGTCATCATGTCGACGTCAATCTCGAACCTTCCTCTAAGAACGCTCACCAATTTAGAATGTGTTAGGCCACGCCTATTTCTGCACCACTTATATACACCAACAACCCATGAAACCACCCCCAAGAACAAAAATTTGTAGTCGTCCAGTTATGTTGCTAAATATACACCGTCATACCTAAGCAAAGCTATGACGGATAGGCGCTTCGTTGACACAGTGGAATGACGAGTTAATTTATTTATTATTCTTTATTTTGTAGTTTAACTATCACTGATTTTTTATAATTAAAATACTACTGGAGTTGGTGTCGAATTTTAGTTTAAAATTATGAATTTGGAAGGAGAAGCTACATATTTTATAAACTGATTCATGAGTTGTTTAACGACACTTTTAACTGCTTAAATCATACAGCGTAAGTGAGTAACAAAATTAGAAGAAAGTTGTCATGATCTACCAGGCTCAAAGTTAACAGAAAGAAAGGAATTGAGAAAGAAAACAAACAAATAAAATAAAACTAAAAATGCTACAAACATTTTGTGACAGTGCGCGGAATAATCTTTGGAGGCGGAAGTGTATCGGAAAACGAACTCCCCCCCTACAGTATAACTTAGAGCTTGTTCCCTTGGTAACAACAGTTGTGTACAGTGATACCATATTCTGTGCCTCTGTTCGTAGGGCGTTGGTGTTAATAATTCGCTTGCAACACTTCTTGTTACGCATAGTAAGTACAAATTGTTTTCTGTTTTCCTCTTGTAGATCCGAGCTTGTTTCTTGTAATTCTGATTAGAATATACCATTACAGCAAGTCCTTCACGTTAATCAGTAACATTTACTTTTATATTTTACACCAGGATAATATAACGCTAGGCGTGTATTCAGAAGGTAACCGGTTCAAATATCGTTTGTAACGGATATCCTGATTGACTAGCTGTTTCTCTACCTCTCTTCAGACGAATACTGAGATAGTGCCTTAAAATAGTCCACGACCGCCTCTTCCTTGTGTACAGGCGGGATGCCGGCAGAACCACAGAATGGAATGCCTTCGAGGAAGCAGTTAAAGTACGATATGGTGAAAATTGATGGCAGACTGTAAGTAGGGCATATTTCGCTCTTAGAAACTTGGACCTCCAACTAACAATTATGGTGTATGGTAGCATCTGGCTTGACCAATCGTTGCGGCCAAATGATTAGAACTCACGCTGCGTATTTTTGATGTCCGTGGTTCGAGTCTCGGACCGAAAACGGCTATCCTAACTGATATATTTCTTGGTTCTCCTCAGTCCCTCCAGACAAACTCCACGATCGCTTCCTTCCGCAATATTTTAAATTCGTTAATCATCTCATCAATTGACGCTGTAAGTCTGAGATTCTGACAGCGTCATTGTACAAATCGTAAAGATACAACAAAAATTAATGTCTACTGTCAATGGAGATTTCCACTGATAACTACCTACATGATGTGTGGTCACACTACAATGTAATACTTGTTCAGTAATGACCAATCAATTCTGATACAGCGTTCCCAACATGTAACCTTTACAAACATCTTATTTGTTACTTTCAGAAAAGAAGTTATTCATTTAGAGAAGCTGACACGGAAACAATGGGAGAAGAAGTGGGGATTTCTAAGAAATATAATGCAGGTAATTTCTGTAATCTCGACTGGACAAACTTCTCAACATGCACTTGTTATATTTTTCTCTCCACACCAAAGAAATATCTCATCGAATCTGAGGAATTACTTGAAGTCAACAGTTCCTTCACTTTTAACAAGAAATGCTGACGACTAAACCACCAAATTCCTCCTATGGGTGTGAAGACATGCTTATGTACGCCAAAATAAGTTGAGGTACGAACGTAGTACACGATTATAAACGCCGCAATACTTACCTTTCTGTCGATAGGGAAAACATTTCAATTTTAACCCCTTACAGAATAAACCTCATACAAATAAACATTCTCCAAGGGAACCTGATAACAGCTGGAATTATGTTTTAGATGTATCATGATGAAATAAAAGCCGAAGGCGTCGAGCTGAAGAAAGAACAGTCTCATCCCAGGCTGGTTTCGGAAATGAAGGCCCCTCCTTCGCCTCCTGTCCCTACCACCAGCTCAGGTTAGCACATTTTATAGAGAAATGATGAACAACTCGTTTATCAGGACGGACTTTATAAAAACGTAATTATACTTACAAAATAATGGTATAATGAATCGACTGTTGTTACGCGCCTTTAGAGAAACTTCTTCTGGCATAGCACACCACTAGATAGGTCTATAGCTGAGCTCTTATAGAAAAACTGAAAAGAGAATAATGTTATTTAAGGGATGATTTCAAGACTGTTTTAAAACTTTTGAAAAGATTTTTTAATCTGCCATTAAAACATCAGTCTGGCTTAAAAAGATGGTTCTGTTTTGTTGAAAGTTTCGTCTTGGCAAGCCTATTGCTAGATGAATGCTACTTTTTCGCCGTTCTCATAGCAGAAAAATACGGAATGTTTTGAACGGATCTCGACCGTGCAGTTTACACTGTTTTATAAAACAGGGTTGAATGGCAATACCACGTCTTCTCTTAAGTAACTAAATCAATGGAAGAGAAAGTTAAGAGTAAAGTATTTTTTAGGCACAGTATAAGTTCATAATTTCACAAATTGCTTGAAGTAATGAATTTGTCACAGGAATCACTTGTTTTTATTCGGTTACATTTCAACGCTTCTGTCGACACAACATAAGTTGAGAAATGTAATTAAGTGTGAAAAAAAATAAGAATCTCTGCTTTACCGTCATTATATTGCGTAAGTCTGGCCTTCATTCATAATGTTAATGTTGATCTCGTGGATTGTGATACCATGTAGACTTGTAGCTAGATACCGCCGTTTCGGAAGGACATGCTGCCTCCATTTCAGAAATTAAAATCTGAATTTTTTGTGCAGGTTTCATCGGCTGGCGCTCCTCCATCGCAGAGTATTCACTGGAGAGGATTGGTCCACTCTACGTGTCTCCAAAACTAACTACAGAACTCCCAGAAAGTTATTCGCCCACGAAGCAAATAAATATATTTATAGGATAACAAGGAAGTAGCATATAAATTATGTTACTTTATTGCATATCAATGAAATTAATCACGTGCTACATGGCCAACTACCACCAATGCAAATAATAATACACATTTGTGAGGAAATAATGTTATAAATAAGTGATTGAAAATAAAATTAATTCTAGCGAGTCAATGGAAGAAATATCTGACATTATCATGTTGACAAGTCACATCCATGGAAGGGAATAAGGCATAATGCAGTAAGTAGACGTGTCTGTAATTACGAGGCTGGGAGAGCAAATATCATTATGAGTAGAACCGGTTTTACAACCAGTTCGTGTAGATTTGTAACCCACTGTTGCTCTAGTTGCTCCCAATTCCCAATTTTGAAGCTATTTTTCCTGCTTGTTCCATGCCCTTTGCTGCAATGTCTTCGACACTGGGAGGTTCAGCATCCGTTTCGCTCTGTAACGAGGTATACAGAAAGTCACTTTTAAGAATCTCCGTAAAACTTTCTTTGAGTGTAACGGAGGCCTTACAGTTATTTTAAGTGTGCATATTTAAATTTTACTTTAGTTCTAATGATGTTGAATATATATTAGTCGATCAAACGTGGTTCATAGATTGTTTGTGGTAAAAATTTGATTTCGTCGTTAAATACGATCTTGTGGTGTCTTTCTTATTCGTAAGCTGACCTTAGTCAATAAAAAGATAGTAACTTATGGAAACAATAAGACATTCCCTTTAAATAAGATTCTTATTTTAAGAATGTTTTAGAGGAAAGCTGCTACCGTAAAACCAGACCAAAGGAAGAATAAATTAAAGTTATTTGAAATAGCTCATTTTCTGAGTTTTAAAACACGTTATGATTTTCATGATCCGAATTTTTGCTGCCCAAATGTTTTTGTAACTTCTTCTATCATTTTATGAAATTATATTCTTGTAAAGTATTAATTACCTCTGACGGCATGAAACCTTCAACAGCCTCTCCTACTGATTCTGCGGCTTCAAGGAGAGGTTCGGGGACGTTTTCTAAAACTTTGATCGCTGCTTCTTCGGGAGTAGGTAGTTTCGGAAGTTTAAACTGTTAAGAAAGAATAAGAATTAGAAAAATCTTTTGGAAAATGTTCTAGCGACAGAGTTCTAGACTACACAGCGCAACAACCCGGAAGACAGCCATCTTCATACTCACCGCAGTGAAAACCTCAAATCATACATTCTAAGAACTCTTTACTTGAGTCAGAGAAACATAGACCTTGACTTAATTTAGAAAATTATTCACTTATATCCATGTTTATACTTCATATTCATGTCATTATTTTACATGAAAATGTATTCCTGGCAAAAAACGTTATATACAGATTTCTATTCTTGCTTTACAGAGCGAGGTGTTCACGGCAACAGGATGTTGACAGAGATCTATAAGCACAAATGGGTTACAGTGTAACTGTGAAAGTTATCAAAGAATGCAAACAGAATATTTTCATTAGTTCCGTTATCTGATACAGACATCGAAACCATTATGCTTTTCAAATTACATGACCCAGATTCAAAAACTTATTTTCGTTCATAGATTAAATGAAGTTTATTCGCTGGGTTAAATTTTAAGGAAAACGTACTGAAAAATAAAATCTACCTGTTATCACCTCCTACGATTGTTATATTCAGGTTTTTACGTCATCTTACGTTCCTTGTAATTTTAACGAGTTTCACTCAAAGCGTAAGTAACGCATAATGTTCGGGTTATTTCACAGAAGTTTAAAATGGAAGGTGTACTCTAAAATTTGAAGAGGAAATTAACATTGGTTCATATTGACCTATATCACCGTCCATTATTTTACTTATCGTGAAACTGTCTTTGATTAATATCCTTCCTCCAAACAGATAAATCACTACTTAAGAATCTTGTGAAGTGATGTGAAGGATCAAACAAATTTGGAAACCCGGGAAGAAATGTTTAAGAAAATAATCTTTAGTCTGGGTCACATTCTCAGTTTACTGTAGAGATAATGCATTACCTTAATATTTTAACGACCTGTCATTGTCACATTATAATGGAACTTTCGAATAATCCGGCTTCGGTTTTACCGTAACTATGCAGAAAGAGGCCGGGGTAATATCATTCAACTTCAGCAATTCTAATTAAGAGTGTCAATGAGTTTTCGTAATTATCATTAAGCATTTGATGCATTACTATTCAAAGTTCAGTTTGGCTTTGATTACGTGATTGATAGTAGACCATTAATTTATGGCAAAATGCAGACAAATTACAATATTTCGTAGCATAGCAAAGTCGACTGATAACTACGTTGTTCTTAGGTAAATTAATGTCGTTGTTTCAACTAAAGATATTTTACATTGTCACATGAGACTGGAAAATGTGTAAGACGAGTATGATTTTTAAGTAAGCTATGCAAATATTAACCCGGATTTATGGAGTAAGGTAGGATAGACGGTAACTAGGTCGAGAATTGAAGTACGTACTGTCAGGAACTTTATGAGTTTGTTCGACAGCAGTACGGAACTGGAGTGTGAATCCACATAGCTTAGCTCAAAACGTCGTCTGGATCGAGTGTCTTTAATTATAATTATAAATATGTTGTACCAGCTCATAACTCAATTATGCAGCAATTAAACATCATTAATAAACACTAAACAGTGGGAGAATTGATATTCTATTGAATACAACTATTAAATCAAGACAACGTTGCGATGGACCCCAGAGCTAACTTGGACGTTCAGCATAATATTATCGACTGATTACTGGTTTATCGACGCTTTTACGACCACGTGGATAGGTTACGTAGGATGAAAGGATGAATATAAAATCATATGGAAGGAAGAGGTCGTGGTCTGTTTCAAGTTATATCATATATATTAAGATATTCACGGTCGAGATAATTAATTCAGGGCGGAGATTTAAGTAGGAAGCAGGAGAGCTACCAACTTGACTGCGACGTTCGGATAAGTAAATGCCTCTTTCGGTAATTGAACCCGGTCGAACTACTAACAGATTTACCTAGAATAGAACGGGCTATTAACTATTCGTTATTCGTGAAACTTTTAAAATCATCGTTTATTTGGTGAAACTTCAGGTTCTCATGGTGATGAGTATGAAAATGGCAGTCTTCTGGGACGTTGCACCGTGCAGCCTGGTAGATAACGACCGACGTTTCAGAGGAGCTTACTGCTGCCATCATCGAAATATTTACCCCTCTGCTATTCGAATAAGACTACAAGTACAAATCCAGCCAATGAACGCAAGTAATAGTAATTAAACTTTACCTGTTGAGACATCCACCACTACTGATTGATCCTTCAGTGCCTTCTCCGACCTCCTTGTTAGGGAGAAATGCGTAAAATGATTCATACTGTGTAGTCCCTTCCCAAGCGGATAGGAACATTATGTTGCAGTGAAGCTGTTTACCATCAGTTATGCAGGTTTCGAGACTCGAGGTTAAATGGGTAATAAAATACAGCAGTGGAATGTACGCAGATGAGTACAGCAACTGAATCAACACATCCACATTTGATCCTAGTAAAATTCATACATTATCGTTGCATTTAAGTGATATTTCACTGACAATAATAACATACTATGATAACAAATATTTCGAATTTTTGTATTACTTACTAATTCTTGATCAGACTTTAATTTCGTAAACTGTTCATAATCATGTAGTTTGTCTTCCTTTGTTACGATTTATGGAGTCCTAGCATACAAAGGGCCAGTGTATGGGAAATAAAGATTTCTTGCCTCAGACTATACTTTCTTTATTACATGTGAAAACTACTATATTTCTCAATAATAATACTAATAACAATATGGGCCAGTAACACGTGCACATTCTCAGCAAAGGCATTTCTTAAAACTTCGTGCTATAGAGGTTCAAGCAATAAGTTCTATTGTTTCTTACTGCAACAAATTAATAGTTTCAAGTAACTGGCGTATATAATGTCAGAGATGGAAAATTCTACTTTTAATAAAATGTGTTTTTTTATGAATCAGCATTGCTAAATTGACAAATGGTACTATCGTGTTCCAACCAATCGGAGTTAGAGATAATGATGCCAAAATAACATATAACACATCGGCTATTCAGTAATTACAGTTTGTATTATAATTCGCTGAGATGACTTGTGTTGGGAAGTATGTCTGTGAACCTAATACAGTCTACAAGGAAAGCTAGAAGGAGATGCGTGGTTTTTCAAAGTCACTTTTCTCAGCAGGCTACTGTTACAGACGAATGGATCCACTCGTGAAGATCGGTGTCAATCTCTAGCGGTGACGAGGCAATTTTGGTATTTTAGGGATATTTCCACCTGCGTCTTTTACCTTGTCGGCTCCTGGGAGAGATGAAGCCATATCAGCCATGTCGCCAGGACTGGGTATGGATGGCGCCTGCCTCGTATCCTGTAGCAGAACATGACGATCAGAACACTGACGATATCGATGGTTCTTATCTGGGTTGTGACGCCGTATGGGTACCAACATTTCAGAGTAAAATAATTCCCCCATCTTCAACCCTGAAGCGTCACAACCCAGAAGACCAACACTTACAATTAGAAGAATATTCATTTAGAGGAACGAAAAGCCATAAAAGATTAACTTTTGAATACCTAACATGTGCTCTTCACAAAATACTATTAGGGTGGTAAAATCAAGGAGGATGAGATGAGCGAGGCATGTAGCGCGCATGAAATCATAAAAGTATATCAAGTTGGTATTTACCCTTTGATGTGCAGGTAAGTCAGATGGCGCAGCTGTTACCTGTAAAGAAAAGTGAAAGTCAAAATAAAATGTGCTGTCCGTTTCTATAACTATTCGCCTTGCTTAAGATATATATATTTTGAATTTATATAAATACATATACTTTGTAATGACAAACCCTATCGTCTTCATCACTCTCGTAAACACAGCTTTCCTCCCAAACAAAATAAAACTGCTACCCCTAAATTCGACATATTTCCTGTTTGCCATGTTATCAACATCACGCAAACCCATCATAGCCCGGCTGTAATTATATTAAAAATGACGCCATCCTTTGAAATGGAAAAAACAGTAACATAAGCAGTTAATACTAAAGAAAATATTTCCTCCCATTTTATAGCAAGTCGAACCAGCCCCAAAATGGGTTTACGCTGAAGGAGGAATCAAGTAAACATAGCAATCTCAAACAAATACAAACAAGGTAGCATATTTGCGTCATATTGTGAATTAGGTTAATATTTTAATATTTTCCGTCAAATCACAATTTTTAATAAGATAATAAAATATAAAATATTTAAAATATCATTTCACGTTCCAATTTGTAAATAGTAAAAAACGTTCCAATTTGTAAATCGATCATTCGATGCGGAACGTGAAATGATATTTTAAATATTTTATATTTTATTATCTTATTAAAAATTGTGATTTGACGGAAAATATTAAAATATAAATACAAACAAGTTAAATAAAGTTACGCACGGCGTAACAATTCTGATGTGTTTCGAATTGTACTCGTAGTGAGTTCAGAGTTATCTTGGGTCACCTATGTTTATATATTTGAATTATATTTCGTGTGTATGTCGAGGATGCATAATAACTCTGCCATTTAGAGACCAGTGTAAAAATTGCCCATGAAGGCTTGCATTTAAATTTCCATGACACACGTATCTTTTGTGGATACAAGAATTAAATTTAAAAACTAAGAAACGCCCACCAAATATTGAAGGCACTACGCCAATATTTGAAAGCTTGTCAGCGTTTCATGGCGGTTCTCCATTTCAGACAACTGTAATATTTCTAGGTCGACGTGATTTGGTATGGAATTCACCTGCAAAAATCCGCCTCTTTGCTGCTCTTTTCTATTAATTTTTTTGTATCCTACGAGAACCAATTAATGAATTTCATGAAATTTGATACTGGGAACTTTTCCATCACATGTTGACATGTTTCTAGTTTCGGTTAAAATCTGATATGAACTGACATTTTACATGAACACTTACGTGTGTTTCTGCGCGGGTTTAGCGGAAGACGTTAAATAACTGACTGCAGCTAAACACGTTTTTGAACAAAAATAAAAGACAAAATTCTATTCCTAAGTCCTAAGAATTTCGAAAAAAAAATAAAACAAAAGGACTGCATGCTTTCACGCACAATCCGAAAACTGTTAGATTGATTTTGACTAATTTTTATACTAGACACGTATGAATTATGGTATTTATGAGCGGGATCGTGAAGTCAACTTTCACAAACTGAAGATCACGAAGCAATGAGAGTGAACGCGCCATACGTTACACGTACAGTTCTTAAAGAGAGTGCACTATTAATAAACGAAAGAAATCACGACTCACCACAACAAAAACAACTGCCAGCAACAGAATTCCAACAGCGTGTTTCATGGTTTCGGCTTTGGATTGCGGTTGACCCTTGATTTCAGTTTGAACACTAACAATGCCACGAAGCTATTTTAGTGTTTATATAGGCCTGTGTATCTAGAATTAACTGCTGATAGTCACGCTTTATTATGACGTAAATAATTTATTATAATTACGATAACATCTTCATAACAATTTCTGGGAAACATATTATCCAGCCAGGAAACAAGTAAAAAAAAAGGTATGTGGTGTATGAATGTAATGGCATAGATCTTGAATCCAGATTTGTCCTCGTAATGGTTTTTTTTTGTGTGTGTCGTTAGTTACGGCGCCCACGTCACACCTGAAGGGAAACGACAAATGATCTTATCGAGACGAATTTGCTGAGCGTTATGTGCCAGTGCAGCTCCTCAGACTTACGTCAAAATTCGTAGGCCTATGACATAATTAGTGTGGAAACTGCAATAACCACATACAAATAGTAAATAAGCAAGGATTTTGCGTAGTGTAGCGATGTTTGACAACAGAAAGAAATTTTACCGTCTGTCGATTCCCGGCGGTGCCCGAATTTATAGCTTGTGTTGAGCAAGGCCGTGGTCTAGGCATCACGGAGTTTTCCTCTGGGGGCTTCCCCGGTTTCTCCGTGGCATCCCAACAATTACTCCATTCACACACAGAAGAAGGCAATGGCAAACCACTTCTGGATCATCTGCCAAGAACGTATATGAACAGGTCCCAATCCGAAAAAAAAGGTGTCCGAATTTATAACTTGTGTTGGGCAAGGCCGTGGTCTAGGCAACACGGAGTTTTCCTCCGGGGGCTTCTTCCCCGGTTTCTCCGTGGCATCCCAACAATTACTCCATTCACACACAGAAGAAGGCAATGGCAAACCACTTCTGGATCATCTGCCAAGAACGTATATGAACAGTCCCAGTCCGAGAAAAGGATGGGAGGATCCTGTTCATGTGGACCTGTCGTCAGACAGAACACTAAATAAATAAATAACACAAAATACTGTGTCGAAAAAAAAGTTAATTTAGATTTGAGGTTTTTACAACGAAGTTGTCAATGGCGGTCTGGGTATTGACGTCGTGTGGGCTTGCACGTAGTACCAAAATTTCGGAGGAATATACTGCCTCCATCTTCAGGGCTAAGACTACTATAGAGCAGTGATGCTGTTTCGAACTCAAGACTTTCAGGTCCAGATCTCAGTACAGAAGCTAGCTATTCTGACCAGGGATTTCCACAGTTTTCTCAGTCTATTCGGAAAATACTGGTATAATGCATTAAATACGCCAAGGCTGCTTCCTTCCAGATCGATCCCCATTCATTGCTTACAAAATTACACCTTGTAACACTTTCTAATCTATGCAATGAAAAATTAATAATAGATAATTTTAAGTTCAGCACGAACTTTACAGAATCATTTAGTTTCAAATAATATGTATACAATCCTACTGTAGACACGCAGGTAGTTAACTGCGTCCTATCTCTATTTCACATCCTGTTTCAGAACTCTCTCAAACTGCCACACTTTGTTCTACTCTGTTTGACCACAACAATAAAGAAATTATTATTTTACATTCATTGTGTGACCTTGTCATATGCAGTGTCTATTACGCAGTGTTGGTTCAAAATAAAGAATTATATAACTCTTTTATTTCAAGAAAATCCCTCCCAGACAAATTATAAGGCACATCCTTCCATTGGTGATTAAAGTATGTCATTACTCGTAATTATCATTTAAAAATACGTAAGTCTAATTAGAAGAGATGAGTGCAATTAAAATTCACAAACATTTTCATTAAGAATAGAAGTGGTTATAGGCTCATCAAGAAGTGGTAATTACAGTAGAGTGACAAGAAATTCATCAACGCAACAAAACCTTGAAACCAAAATCAGTCCCTAGACAGTCAAATCCAATCTGCATAATTGCAATAGATTTTCTTCAGGCCTATTTTCTCACTTTCAGACTGCACACGTCATAAAGTTTATGCAAACTTAAACACATTTGCCCAGTGTGTACTAAATTTAGTGTTCCTAGAAAATTACGTGGGGTCCTCAGTGGCCGCGCGGTCTGAGCCGTGGGCCTTCGAATCCCACTCAAGCCATGGATGTTTGTTGTGCTGTCCTGTGTACAGGTAGAGGCCTTGCGACGGGCCGATCCCTCGTCCAAGGAGTCCTACCGAAACGTCTATGGATCGAGACAACGAAAAGTTGGGGACCCATAAAGGGTACCGGAAATTGTACAAACATTGTTAAACCGGAAAAGAATAAGAAGAAAATTACGTTATTTCATGATATTACTGCCATTACCCACAAAATAGATGGGTGAGTTTCTTGAGTAAATTTCTTGGATCAGTTTATCTTTATTGGGTTCAGGTACTGTCTTTAACATCGTGTTTTCACACATTTCCAGTATTTATTTTCCCTTAGGGTACAAATAGTTTTTTTCCAGCTTACATAAAGAGGTAAATACATTTCTGCTGTCCCACTATACGCCACGTAGGCGCTTGAGGAGAGAGGCAGTATAGCTCCTACTCATTTTCAACCTTGGCATTAGATGGGAGTGAGTGGTCAGTGTCACATCACATAAAGAGGTACAATTTTACGCGTGGCAGTATTTTATTTTCTAGCAGCTGATAAAATAAAAATATTTTGATTAAGAAATTCCAAGATTGTTCGTATTTCCTCACAAATGTCTTTGTAGTGGACAAAACAGAGTTCCTACTGAATCCTAATAGACAAGCCATAAGTAAGTACGTGTTTATCTTTCAACCTTTCCACTCCCTAATCAGTTATTTTATTTAAAAAAGTGAGGCGAATAACATTAATTGTCAAGTCTTCGTTATCAACAACAGGAAGGAAAAGATGAAACATGACAAGTTACCAGCATTAATCTTAACTGTCACGACATATTTTTCATTCGTGAAAAGAACGGAGTGCCTCGAAATCCTTTTATGACGCAATTCCTTTAAGCTGACGTTAAAAATCTCTGAACTAACACGTCACTAAGCATTACAACCTAACAAATGTTCCAAACATGATAATCAACAAGTTTACATTTTCGTTTTTGTTCTTCATTAACGTGGGGCAAAAGTTAGCCAGACATAATGAATTAATAAACAGAACTTGAACAAAGGTAGTTAAATTACTGAAGTCATTTCACATCTAAACAAATGACATGTGTTTAAAAATAATGGAATTGCAGAATTTACGAAATATTTAATAAATGAACTACATTCCACTTGATCTGACAATTCGTAGTTTGTTTATATTTTCTGACAAAATTGATATCCACACGGCACAAGAACTTCAGGCGTCACAGAGGAAACAAAAACTGTTCCATAACTGAAAGCAGTACTTCATAATTTGAAGCACGTAATTTAAGATTACTGATAAACATTTTACTGCACTTATGACAATTTTAAAAATAAAACTACTGCGATACATACCAATGAAGTGAGACAGCAGTTATTCAGCGGGAAGTGTTCACGGGCTGATTCCTGTCTGACGATGAAATGAAAAATATAAATTCCTTCAGAATTCCAATCTGAGCAGTGTCATTCTATCTGAATCTAAATACAGCTAACAGTACCACACATTTCCAATATTTCACTATTATTTTATAAGTTTAGCTAAATTAAACATTTTTAAGATAGTATTTCATTATATTTTAAAATTCTTTGTTTTTCCTTAAGAAAAACAATAAACTTAAAATACTGCAATGCATGTAAATTCATACAACATTTCTGTCTAGTTTAAAATTTCTGACAAATATAAAATATTCAGTACAACAAACTTTGAGATAACATTAATACGAAACATCCCTGGAGTTATCATTATCAGAAACTGGTCCTAGTATATAATCCCCTTCCACAAAAACCAAACTTACTTCCATAGTGAAAATGAGAACCAAATGTAATAATCCTCAAGCAAGATCTGACAGTCATTCATTTGCATCAGGCTCTTATTTACTTTAGAAATAACAAATTAATTTTGTGACACTATAACAAAAAAGATGTGTTCATCTTACCTCAAGGAAATATTTATTCAAACCTTAAAATTAGATTTATATTCTTACAAAAAGATACAAATAAATTTGCAGTACAGTAGGACCTACATTTAAGGCTACTAATAATTTAGTACAATACTGAAACACTAATGGGCACATTTCAGTCTCACAGATAATACAATTAACAGATATTAGCAGAAATATGGCTGAGTAGAACAGAAGAAAGTTTACAGTAATTAAATGTCCTCTTAACCTAACCTAACCTAACCTGACCTAACCTAACCAACCTAACCTAACTTCTGTAAACTATAGCTGTGTCTGAACATGTGGAGGAAACCATACAGGTACAATACTGGGGTGTCAAAGAACACATTTACACTATCTCACGTCAAATTTAAGTGGTGCAATAATTATTACAACAATATTTCACTGCACAAAGACCAAATGTCACTCTGCGAACCCACTGGCACAACATTATTATTTGCACATTCATGGAATAATACAGACAGCAGAATTCGCTGAGAACGTACGACATAGTAAAGAAAAATGTAAATTATTCATATAAATTATATTTGTTTTGCTTTTCCTATGGATTCCCAGCACCAAAATTAAACTAAATGTAACCATTTGTTTATTTATAAAAAATTAATGTATTTGGGCAGAAAAAAAGAGATTATATCATGAACATTACAATTCATGGAGCAAATGACGAGAAAGATATCTTCAGCGCTACCTACATATATGGGTACAAAAGAAACTAAATTATTTTTGGCGAAGATTTTCACTAACCACTGCTCGGCTCGTACATAAAAATGAGACCGAGGAAATACACGATCCTTTGTGCCATGAAGACAGAACATAAGTATTTCTTTTAACCTTCACCAAGATTTTAATCATCACAGCCTCTAACCTTCACATTTCAGGTTTTAAATCTATATTAAATACTCCAATTATCCCCTGAAAACTTACATTTACCAGAAAGAATGATTGCAAAAACAGCTTTCTTTTCATTGCCTTCAACACATTTTAAAGCTTAAATAATACCATCAAAAATCACTACACAATCTCATATACCAACACCGGCTCCATTATAATCTTAAACTGTATTAACACTGATGACACTATATCATATACCAAATGGCAGTGGTTTACATTTGTGACGTATGCTTGATGTTAACACCAATAAGCACCTCTGATTCTACATCAATATCACCAGAGGTCATGACGGAGGAATGTGGGTCATTCTCATGTGTAGTGTCCGTACCTTGTGATACCACACTAGTATTATTACTAGTGTCACGGGATTTGGCAGTAACAGTGTCGAATGATTCGTTATTTAACGAACTGTTGAGATTATCAGATGAACTGGTACTAGGAGCAGAAATAATTTTTGCAAATGGTGTGGCGGAATTATCGGCGTTGGAACAACTGTCCGAAATGTTACCGGAATCTTCACAAGGGGATGCGAACAAGTCTTGTAACTGCCGCAACGTTACTTTATCCCCACTCCATTTTTCTGCCCCACTCTGTACCGCAGCATGCATACGCTCTTCAACTGTTCCACGTATGAGAAATCTATGAACCGCCGTTTTCCTAAACACACAAAGGAATGACCTTATATCAGAGCTCAACTACCTCTAAAAGACAAACTGATATGACGCCTAATAATCACAAATACCAAAATTTCCAACAATATGTACCAATAAAATGGCTGCCTTCTGGAATTCTGCTTCTCCATGTAGTCTGGCAAATACTGACCAACATTTCATTCCCTTGATGATGGAGGCAGGAAGGGAATGAGTAAAATCATGAAAAACCTAAGCCAAGATAGCTAGTCTCCAGGCCAAGATATGAAGCCAGGAAATCTCAAATATGAAGCAGTAATGCTTACTACTCAGCTATAATATTTGGTAAAAGCTTCGTAAGTCCCCAGAATTTCAAATTAATAAGGTTTAAATGTGCACTGTGCAATGTCTCGGAGCTTCAGCTAGAAATACTTGCCTGGTTTGACCGATGCGATGGACACGACCAATAGCTTGAAGCTCGTCAGCTGGGTTCAGAATGGGTTCTACCAATAATACATGAGTAGCTTCCACCAGATTCAGACCCTTCGCACCCCATCGAATAGGTAACAGGAGTGCAGTCACGTGCGACTTACTGTCCTGTTAACATCACAAACGACAAACCAAATTCAGGAAATTATAGATTCAAAGTAATATTTTGATGTTTACTGCACTGATAATTCTACATATACTGTACATAAATCCAATTATACCCATATCTTATAAATCAACTACTATGATGAAAAATCTGTTCACCTAATGTTTCACTAACCTTATGATTAAAATTCCAAACTTAATTTTTATATTTGAAAAATAGTCATGTAAAAATAATAAAATACAAACTCACAGTACATATTAACAGTTACTCATTTTATAACAAAAGCTCGCAGTTCCTACTTAAACTTACCACAATCTTCAGCAGATTTCATATACTGTTATCCATGGTCATTCCCAACAAAACATCTTTCCTGATTAAATGATTGCATCATGAAATAATCCGTCATACAAACATTAAAACAGACTACTTCAACCAGAGAAGCCATGACTTTGATTGATGCCATGCAATAAAATTAACAATTTTACCTTGAAATCCTGTAATATTTCCTGGTGTTTGAGGCCAGGTTGGAGTCGGGAAAACGAAACACTGTTCTCCGTCAGTGCGTGAGCAAGGACATCCAGCACTTTTTCCCACTGCCAAAACAAAAGTCAACTTTATCAACGCATTCTCACAAGCATGTTAAATATTGTACAAACACAACAAATAAACAAAAACAATACCGTGGAGAAAACAAGAGCTTTGACATCAGGTTCTTCTGCTCTGAGCGCCAACAAACGATGTACCACTGCCTCTACTTTAGTGGAATGTGAACCTCGCACAGTGATAGGAGTCCCATCCTTCTGCGATTCATATACCTTGCAGCTCAGATTTACATATGAAATGCCATCTTCTTGCGTAGTTTCACGACATATCGGACATTTTACGTTGACTTTTCGTCCCCCGTGGCTCTGATCTATCATGTACCGCACACATTCCAAACAGTAACAGTGACCACACTGTAGAACACTCCACTGCAAGAAAAAGTTACTCTCATTATTTTCTTTCTAATAAAATTGTTATGATCAGTAATACTGCATCTTCCATATCAATTTAGAAAACTTTCTACAGTAAAATGGGAATGTGGCTGTAACACGTGATTTTAGCAAATGGCCACAATAAATAATGCAGATGAGTCATTTTTTTTAAAACACTTCACAACACATCGCCCTGATGACGGAGGCAGTATGACCTCTGAAACGTTGGTTAGCATCAACCAGACTATACAGCGCAACAACCCAGAAGACAGAAATCTTCATACTCACCGCTGCGAAAACCTCAAATCTTACAACACAAAAATACTTTCTGAATTATGTGTTGTTGGGTGTTCTTTCTATTGTTCTTGTTCATTACAGTTGACATTTCTCCATTCACATAAATCCAAAACTATGCATTACTTGCATTTAAAAAATTCCACTCTATTGTATCACTATATTAAAACTGAGAACATATTTAGTGACGTACCTTGTCTCCAAGGTTAGTTTGGCAAATTGGACACGGGTCAGGATTGCTATCCAAACCTCGACTCTTTCGAAGGTTTTCTAGATAAAAAAGCTGTCCTGTCTTTCTGCGTAGATCCCCTTGAGCTACAATCCTTTCTGTCTCCAGTCGAGTCTCATGAGACCCAACCTGTACATGAAAGTACAATGAAATTCACAGTAACATTATGTGCGTCTTTAGCGTGCACTGCTACATCGTTTAAATTTATAAATGGATAATATTCAATTTTATGACAAAAATTCAAATGAATTTAAAAAATATCATACTAAATAGTAACACAAATGGGACAAAAGCAACATTCTATAAAAAGTGTAATTATATTGCTACTTACAAATTAAAATTGTGAAAAGAATATGTAAACAATATCCATTCTAATCATTTATGAGCTGTTTAATGTGAACTGCCTCACTACACAATTAAAATCTCCAAAAAAGATATAACTGAAGAAGAATCACTTAAAAGTGTCATACCACACCTGATGTTTCTCAATGATGTGGATTGTTTCAATAGCACTGCCAATGTTTGAACTGAGTTGCTGCAGAGGGCTGTGCTTCTTATTAGACTGAGGTACCGGTTCATCCGGGAACCGAATCCGCAGCCTCATCTTTGCCATATCAAGCTCATCTTGAGCTGAGACCTGGTCACGTAACTGTGTCCAAACCAATCGCAATTGCTGAAACATAAATACGCAAAAATCATATTTTCTACTCACAAAACATGTATTACCATTCTCATTTTCATTATTAAATCCACAAAGGAATTCTACATAACAAAATCATACTTATCAAATCTAAAACTTCTTGACGATGGTGAAGAGTCAATTGAATAAAAATTTCTTTGGGTATTTTTATTCAATTAAAATCATACTTTATTTTAATACAGCAGAGATTGATAAGTAGTTTCCTGTACATTATTAACCTCTTCATAGTTATGAGCAACCGAGCTCCACCAAGTGGAAAAGCATGCTGTATGTTATAGACAGAACTCATGCACCACATAAAACAAAAAACAAAATGTAAACAAATTACTTTCCTAGATACAAAGTGAGTTTTAAAAGAAAATATATGTATTTACATTTTAAAGGATTGACTTTCATGTACAAATTATTCAGATCAAGAAGGCTGAAAGAAACATCATCTGATTTCAATGATGAGACAACAGCTAAATTCATGCTTTGTTATGGATTCAAAATTATAAAATTGGAACAATGACCTCTAAAATTTACATTGTTTTGGGGATCAATAATATAAAGATATTATGACAATATAGGTACACAAACTGAAACTTCTGTTTCAATAGATGTGATGGATATTCTATCTGTGGAAATTTGACATTACCTTAAATTCTTTCTTGATTGCATCCAGGAGTTTCAGATGTTGAGTGCCATCTTCCAAACATTCCCTGTTGGATCGTTTTCCTCGAACAAATGCCACCAATACTGCAAATGTTAGGACAACCAATTTCTGGATATGAACCAACATATATACACATGCATACTTCTTCTTCTTCTTCTTCCTTGGCTCTACAACCCAGTTATGGGTCTTTGCCACCTCATTTTCAGAGGTTTCCTAGTCTTTGAAGTGTGAATCTGTGAGTGGTAAGTTTCCACCCCACTGCCGCTGCACAATTTCTACTCAATCTTGAATCAGGAAAGACTTGGGTGAGAAATGGCCCCTGAATTTTTCTTACGAAACATCTCGTTCATGCTCGTAAGGTTCTTTTACATGCCGTAAATCTATGACACGGGATCACCGGCTTTACTTCCCCTCCGAAGGAAGTTGAACAACAGATTTTTATCACCCTTAAAAATCCAACGACCTCAGCCGGGTTTGAACCCACGAACCTTCAGTCCAGTGGCAAGCACACTAACAGCTAGTCCGAGGCTGACACACACATGCACAAAGTTAAAATAAAAAATTACAAAGGATTTTATTATAAGTTTTGACAAAATAGTCATACAGTAGTTTGACAGATATAATTTTTCTACATAATCATTTTGATTTTTGGTCCAGAAATTCCCCAATTTCCTGGTTCCATCTAAGTTCTTGAAGCAAAAATTTAACTGCAGATATTATCTTATTTTTTATTTATATCTTATATCTGTAGATTTTTAATATTCACAGCACGTCTGTCATATCTTTCTGCAATTACATCATATACATGTACAAACAGCACAAAATGTGAAGACCACCAACATCCACTTATAAAATGAATGATTTATTCTGCTATCTGTGATTAAGCTTTGACCATGTACTTATATAATTTTAAAACCAACCCATTTGCAGCATGGAATATGATAGCGACACTTTGGTGGTATGGTAAAATGTGTATGTATGTGCAGGAATATTTATTTATAGCTTATTTAATCCCACTTTCAGTAGCTAAGACTGTATTGTGTCAAATGAGATGAAGATAGTGAATAATAAATTGGAATGGAAGTGGACTAATTCAACGTACGAGGGTGAGTCAAATGAAAACCGTAAAACTGAGATAAAAATTCGAAATATCGCACCATTGTCCTATAAGTTGGCAGACATGTTACCAATGCTATAAAGAGTATCCTATAGGTGGTAGTATAATGCAGACAAACATATCGCCATCACAGTGCCAATTTGAAAATGGCTGCTCCACTAGTTACGTGCACGAAAGAAGAACAACGTTCTGTAATTCGTTTTTTGATCAGTGAAGAATCTTGAAGAATCATCTTCGACCTGCAGTCAGATCAAAGCGACGTGGACTTTTGACTAGAGGTGTCCTTTTGCAACATGACAATGCTCGGACCCACTCTGCCGGTGCAACAGTTGCAACAATCAAAGACTTGCACTTTGAGTGTCTTCCACATCCGCCATACTCACCAGACCTAGCCCTAAGTGATTACCACATGTTTGGGCCACTCAAAGAGGCGATGGGAGGAAAGAAGTTCCGTTCTGATAAAGAGGTACAGCAGGTGGTGCATGAGTGGTTCCGCAGACAACCACAAGAATTTTTTTCTAGAGGAATCCATACACTTCGTAAACGCTGGAGGGCCTGTATTGAACGAAATGGAGACTATGTAGAAAAATTATATAGGTGTGTACCGCTTTCACTCGATAAATTAAATTTAAAAAAAAATTTACAGTTTTCATTTGACTCACCCTCGTACTATCCCAGCATGTAGCGGGACAAACTTTTTTTTTATCCCAGCATGTGCAGTAAGTATCCTGCATTTTCCACTACTAATTAACAATGATTGGTCCTGGTATTGAATACAGGGACCTTTGGTACGCGAAAGGCACGAACATACCTCGAAGCACTCGTTCCATTTCACAGGGTTTCCATGTTCCTTGGTTTAGTTGTCCCAGGAGAAGAACGTTACCCACCATACTATGTTCTGTCTGTTTCTTGCTAACAGCAAACACCAGACTCTCATAGCTCTTGAGATGTGTCTCACAAATGCACAACTGACACCTGTATTCAAGAAGTGCAACAGATAATATATATCAATGCATATGTATTCTTGCTTTGTATAAAAAAGAGGTATATGAGGACATTCACATTAAAAACAGGGAAAACTGTCATAAATGTGTCTACAAACTTCAACCTAAATTACATACAACAGCAGAATATTATGAATAACTTCTTGTTTTACAAATGCTGTTTATAGAAAATAAACCAGTGAAAACTGTCCCCTGTAAAAGACCCCAATTACAGTGAATATGTATTTACAAATATGGCTGCTTTTTCTGTTTCACAATTAAATATTCTCATCTTGTTAGTATTACCTTCATTATGAATAACTCATTCAAATTTTGTTTTGTATGAAATGACTCCCTTAAACCTCCAATACTTTATACACATGTTCAGACTCACACAATTTACATTAATATTTTCTATTGAAATCATCGCCACCAGCGTACAAGCATCTGAGACGCAATTGACCGAAAGAATGTATGGAACCAAAAGCCAAAACACAATCTAAATTCTCATCATTATAGAAAAATTAAATCTTATTTAATATCACACTTTCCAATCTTATGTTTATTCATGGGTTATTTAATGATACCTTATCAATATCAAAGTTATTCTGCATTTAATGAGACATACAATGATCATAAATGCTCAACTGCAGAGGATGCATGTGGGAAGAAAGTAGTTGTAGCTTACTTCAAGGTACTGCCTTGTTTTCTTCTAGGACAGACCCACACGAACCTAACTGTTAAGGCAGCTGAGTGAGTGCTTTCAGGATATGAGCACACAACTAGTAAACTAATTATAATGGATGCATGAGAAAACAGCTGGAATTACATACTTTTTCTTGTTCCTATTATTAGCATTACTGAGACGCAAATGACAATCTACTGCTCCATTCACCATGTCTTGCCGAGGGGTTCTTTCAAGCTGCTGTAAATCTTGCACAGCCTTTCTTCTGACTTTCTGCACAGCATCACTCCATATTCCAAGCTCATATTCCATACCTCGAATACTAGATACCCTGTATATAACACAATCACACACTTCATTAATATGTATACATTATAGAATACGCGGCGTTCTGTTTTTTTGAGAGGGACAGGGAGGTGAAAAATATCATATTGAAAAAAGGGTAATAATTCTGAGTAAATTTGAACTAAACGAGTTACTCGTGATTATGCTACATGCATATTTACTGGATACTAGGAACGACCCGTTCTTCAAGTGCCTGAGCACTGCAGGTCCCAACTTTTCATTGGCTTGATCTTTCGACATTTGGTAGGACTCCTTGGATGACGGATCGGCTCATCGCTAGGCCTCTACCTGTACACAGGACAGCACAACACAAAAATGCGGACAAACATCCATGGCTAGAGTGGGATTTGAACCCACGGTCCCAGTGACCAAGCGGCATAAGGCCCACGCCTCATACCACGCGGCCTCTGCGGACCCCGCATGATATTTAGACAGTAAAAAACTATGTATGACTGAGATACTTTACATTAGTATCACATACACTCAGGCTATCAGAAGTGACAATTTGCATACTTCCCATGGAGTTTGATACTCTTTTGGTTGTGCTAACCCAAGAAAGACAAAACTACCAAGTGTCTTATTTGCTCATAAACTGCGCTCTCATGCAATGGTTTTACAGTTTCAGACCCAGTTCAGTGTAGATTAAACAAATATTGCTAGACTTAAATTTTATTTTTCACCTGTTAATCAAACTCTCTTGGCCTGGAATTCTATTCTCTAATAAATCATCTCTTATTCTACTCAGGAGTTCCATCTCTTCTCCTTGAAGCACAATCCAGGATAAGAGCTGCTCCCACCAATCATCTCGACCCATGTTGAAACTGTTTTCCAATTCAGTCACAGTCAATGACAAGCCTGCCAATGTTTCCTGTGCTGCAGCTACCTGAAAAAACACCAAAACTACCTTCATAAATAAACCATTTGATAAACAATACATTGTACACAAAGATAGCATGCATTATCAGAACTATTTCTCATATCAGAAACCAGCCTGAAATGGCTAAGAACTGTCACAACCTGAGAATCACACTTCTGCATATACTTCTGCTCCAGGGCTCTGGCATCCTCTCTCAGTCTGTCATCTCGCAGAGTGGGAGAAATACCTTCATGCCGTGCACTAAGTATATCATCTAAATTGTACAGTGTGTGTATCATCTGAAATTAAAGGTCAAACAGGTAACAAATAATATACATTTAAAAACATACAAATTTTATATTATCAGATTTACAACATAATTTTTGTCATTGTCAGAAAACACAAATGATTGATCTAGTAAATGTTCGCAAGGAGCGAAAAATGTAGACAAGCATTACAAATTAAAATGTTATATTTTATGATACATACTTATCTTCCATGTAATTAATTACTTGTTAAAAACATTTTATAAAATAATTCTGCTAGGTGCCAGAACATGGACATATTAAACGTTTTTATTGTGCGTCCTATCTGTGACATCATGTACAGAAACAAGCGCAAATATGACACCTGTAATTTATCAGTCTTCAGTTTATCCTTATATTCTTCGGCAATTCTAAGCACATCTCGGTACGTTTCCACAGCCTGGACCCAGTTTTCCCTGATAATATGAATACCAGCCAGCCCTAGAACAGGCATTTACATATTGATTCTTGAGGAATATATCCAGTTCTAAGAATTCAGCTTTCAAAACAATATAAGCACACTTGGGATAAAAAGAGAAGAAAATCATACACGTACCATTCAAAGCAGCAATATACTGCCGCAGGGCTTCCTCACTCTCACACTGTGTCTTCTTAATCAGAGATTCCAGAAGTTCCTCCATGCTCATAGTAGCTTTTGCGGCTGTAAGGAACTGTCCACGAACAGCCTGAGGATGTGAACAGGCCTGACGGAGTCGAAGCAAAGGTCCCAACACCTGAAGTATGTGATTATATAATTTGATTTATTCTAAATCATACGCAGTAGTAAAATATTTATGTCCAGTAAACTATAAAGCTGTTTCTTAATTTATGAATACCAAGAGCAAAAGAACTCTTTTGAGTTTTAAGATATATAAGAACATTTCCCACAAAATATTGTGCAGAGTTATGCTAAGTTTCACCATCTAGGATAAATGAGAGAGTATTTTTGGAAACGGGCATAGGAGGTAGTATGAAAGAAAAAATAGTAACATTATAAGCAAATTATAGGCACTCATGACAGTTAAAAGTTACAAATTGTTCATTATATTCTCTGTGGATCTTGTTACCAAGGCATGATGAACCCTCCAGTTCTAGATGGATGGGATGGCTCTCAGATAAACACCGTAGCTGTAAATATGTTAAGCAGTCATGGACAATCTTCTGCTTAAAATTATTACACTGACAGAGCAATAAATATGGCCCATTTCAGTGGACTTCCCATTATAGGAATGGTATGTATGCTCTCTGTAATAATAAACTCCTCAAAATACCAGGACTCCAAGGCCTACATTCTCCATGTAAATTATATACAGTATGTACCAAGTGCAATCACTGAAACAGCTCACCTTATTGATTGTCTGCCTGTTAAGAGAGTCAAGAGTAATGTCCAGACTACGCATCTTACTCAGTCTATCTATGAAGTCTTGCGAACATTCAGAATGCTGCCTGCGATAGAAATGCTCTTCCACTGGAGAAAAGTGTAACCACTCCACTTCCTCACTCTGATCTGGAATGTTAATCTGGAAGAAAACAAACATTTCTATATTATAAAGTACATATGAAGATGTATAAAGTGAAGTTTTCATTAACTACATATGGAGAGATTAAAGACACTTTGACACACAACAAAAATGTTCTCAAACTTAAACATCATATTAAAATATTTCACAAAAACAAAGTTTGTTTAAATTCTTTGCTAATAAGTATATACCTGATGCAACACATCTTTCTTTGCTGTACGCCACATTATTTCTGCCATGAGATTATATAATGGAGTGTAGTTTCCTTGGCAGAATGGTCCATATACAAGATCCTGCCACCACCGAAGATCACAGAGAGGATCAATTCCCAAGAACTGCACCAAGCCAAATAAATCTGCAGTTTGAAAGCAACCACAGCAAATCTGAATTTGTACACAAAAGTGCATTGTAACACATAAGATAAAATACATAACAATTTGTTGGTTTCTTTAGCAAAGGTGATATGAATATGAACATCACTTAATCACGTAGTAAATAAATATGCAAATTATGTTACAAAAATAAACATGATTTTAAAAATACAGAAAATGTCGAACAGATTCACCATGCATGGACTTCTGAACTGGCGTTCCAGTGATGGCCCAGCGATGAACTGCTTCCAATCTCCGTGCCATTTCAGCTGTCTTACTGCTTGTACATTCTACCATCTGTGCTTCATCCAGACAAAGACGCCACCACTGAATACATGGAAGAGGAGAAGGAGGAGCGAGAAATCTTTTCACATGTCTTAATCTGCAAGACAGAATATTAAAAAGACCTAGTAATTAAAAAGTTATGATGCAAAGAGTAAATAAATATCACATTCCCTCATAACTTCACTACAGAGTTTTGTCATACTAAGAATGTATACTGAAATTAAACTTACTGCATTTAAACAACTGAACTTCAGGGTGGAGAGGTTAGATCGGGAGTTCAAATACTGATTAGAAGACTACCTATCCTGAGGATTTCTGTGATTTTACTCAATCTCTCTTGGCAAATGCTGGGATTAATATTTTACGGCAGGCCGTGACCACATATTTCCTAATCCATCATACACAATCATCATGTATCCAGTTGATAAAGTGTCTTAAATAAATTAAGGAACATACATACATACACACACTAAAAGCAAAACACACACACACACACATAAAGTAGTCCCTCCATATACAATGCACCATTTGCCTTTTTGTTCATTTTCAATGGAAATTTCAACACTTATGAAAAGTTTCTTATGGCACATCTTAGAAGGCTTCATGCAACTTTACAGCACTACATCAATGCCTGTCTCAGTTCATGGCTTGCCTTTGCATGGCAACATCTTTCAAAGCAAAGTATCTTTTCGATTTTTTTTAATATTTTCCCCATTACTGTTGTATCAGCAACAGTTCTCAAGTACCAATGTTTCAGAAGAACACCGTGCCTTCACCTTCATCCCTGAAGATAAAGGCCATATGTTCCTCTAAAACATTGATATCTACATACAAATCCGTGAATATAGGGTACAAACTTCCATAAAATAAATCATGCTATGCTAATCTAATTTGAGCTTATCACATGTCTTAATGCCCTTTGATTATAAAAGATACCAATATAACATATTTTTCATACCTGTGCCCATCTGTTGTGTTGAGATCTGCATAATTCAATTCTTTTCGAAGGGTTTCATATGTAGTAAGAACTACTTGATATTTAGCCAAATCATGTGGCTGAAGAAAACCATCCTTTTGCACACCCCTGTAGAAAAGAAAATAACACAACCTTTCTTCTTGCAAACCCAGTACTTATTGAGAATTCTCATGCTCCATCCCATACCAACATCATGGATTGCCTTCCACTTCAAACAACATGAACTACAATAAATTAGTTAAGATTTAAAATTATTAATAGCAGCTAGTATGAAGATGGCTGTTTTCTGGGTTGTGTGCCACATAGTCTGGTGGAAGTTTACCAATGTTTCAGAGATGCATGCTGCCTTTGAAACATTGCTAAACAACTACCGAACTACATGGCACAAAACCCAGGAGACAGCCATCTACAATGGATTAAGATGCTTGCTGTTTCAAACATATTTTGATAGACTAGACTCCAGACCACTGGACCCCAAAGAAAGCAGAGTATGCAAAATGTTCCAAGAAGTTCAACAGAAAATTGAGTAAAGGCACACTTCTTTGTGTTTCAGCATTACTTTAAGACAGACTTAAAAATAGACCAAAGTATGAGTAGAGTTCCTTTATTTGTTTGTTTTATAAAAATACTTTTCTCTTGTAGTTTATCCCATTTACATATTTCTTTTCCTTTTCCTTCTGTAAAATACTGTGTGAACATTCAAATTCACAAGGATGTGTCAGATTAAGAATGTGTCTTGAAGAGGAAAACATTATTTTTAATAAATGACTAATTTCCTAAATACTTCATAGAGACGGCATGCAGAAAACTTGCTACCAAAGAAAGCAGACATTGCAGACGTACCTATAAACAAGAATACTGAAGTTCTCTTGATTCACATGCCTCTGAATTTCTGTAACCCACTGGTTACTGATGGAAGCAGGCGACACTATGAGAGTGGCTCCAGAAACAACAGGTTCCTAAGAACAGTAATTGTGAGCTACAACTGTGTGCCATTAAAACTGAAAGACAGCAAAACTGTATTTTAAAAGTTATTTTAATTGAACTGAATGTTTTGATTTTCAATGAGAAAAATACACAGATATAATAACATTTCCTGTCTTTTAGCCTAGTAGTTTGTTCATATTACCTGAATAAATTTCTAGAATGGAATTTTTGAAGAAGTATTTTATTAAGGTCTCACAGTAAAGGAAACTATAAAGTTCTTTAAGAACTGCATGTATAATAAAACCTGACCCTTGATTTTATTTAGTTTAAAATGATCACTTTATAACTTTACTAGTAAATCCACAGCTACATGGAAATGATTTATATGTACTAACACTCTCCAGATAACTCAACTGGTCAATGGTCTCATATGCTTCAGATAATTGCAAACATTTTACTTTCGTAACATACAATTCCCAAGAGTACATTTTTGTAATAATACATTAACCAAACCCTGCACACAATTTCTTCTCATATATGAATAGGGTAAAAGTACCGTACCCCCACTTATAATTCATTTTTGTCACTTCCTTTAGATGGATGGAACTGAATATTACATCCCTTCTTATATTTCCTGCATACTACTTCCAAGAAATATAAGTTAACTAAACTAACAGAAAAATGATCCTATATTTTTCAGTCACAGAATGAAGTACCAAAACACTAATTAAAACAATATGACTACAGCTAAACATACTGCCAAAATATGCATAATATATTTACCATACCTGAGCTTGCCAGCACTGAGGACAACAATAGGTTCTGCTTTCTTGATCTCCTTCAAGCTGTTTGAAACCAACGCACTGTGCATGCTGCCAACGACCACAAGCAGAACAACAGACTTTGGATTTATCATAGTCTTCATCTGATCCACAGACACACTCTAGTACGGTCCCTTTTGCTAGCTCCCGAATACTCTGAGGCTTCCGCAGAGTTACCACAGACAGCATTTCCTTATACCATATTTGGCTAGCTTCCCGCCAGCTGTTCACCTGTCCAATACAAAAACCTACCAATGTATCATTGATTTCTCTGTTGTGATATTTGAAACTTGTTTTATGATGATCATGAGAAAGTTAAGGTTCAATTTGCGAATAATTATTTGGGCTAAATAAAAGAATTTATGCATCATGTAGATGTCAACCTGGAAAATCTAAGAAACAATGAATATTAACCACAAGAATCAGGCCAGTTATTCAAATAATGATGAGATGAGTTAGATTTGCAGTAAGAATTAGTCTGCAAAGAACATAGCTGCTGCAAATGATTCATATGCTTACTGCATCCATCATCAGGGTGATAACAAAGGCAGTAAGAAGCTCCGAAACATCAGTTAACTTCCACCAGACATGGCACATTTCAGAGAACAGTCATCTTCATTATCCATGTATTTTATCACTATGGATTGCATTTAAACAGTATAAAATTGAGGTAATGGTTGACTGCATTAAAGGGTTACTTAATACCAGTCAAACAAGTTAATGAAACATTTGGACACTGAAGGACATTGTCAATGGTAGTCTTCTCGGTTGACACCGTGTGATCTTGTAGGTGGTTACCAACATTTTAGAGAAATGTATAACCCCCATCTACAGAGTAAAAATTAGCAACTTACCCCGATGTCAATGGGCAAGTGGTTTTATGACCAGTATTCACAAAGGACACTCTGTAAGTTCTTGCTACTCATAACCAAGAGAGATGTGTCAGAAACTGCTATACATTTCAGTGTGATGCATATTCAATTTATGTTCTCAACTGATGAACCCACCTTTCTGTAAACGCCCTTCCTGTACTCAACCGTACCATTTCCATAGCAGAATTTGGAGATCACTTCCTCTATTGTCTCTTCAACTGAATCACTAACCGTTTTCTTTTTCTGTGCTCCTTGTATTACTCTTTTCCTTTTGTTTTTATATTTACAAACTGATCCTTTTCTTACATCCACTTTCTGGTATATTTCTTTCTTCTCCTGTACTGGTTTTATTTTACATCGTTTTCTTCGGGTTCTATCCTTAAATTTCCTTAATTTCATAGTATTTCCCAAATCATCTTCACTGCTTATCTCAAAGTTGCCTATATTATTAACAATATCCGAATCTGGTGGACTAACATTCTTGCCTAGAATGGAGTCATTAATTTTATCAAAATACTTTCTGGTACACTCACTAGTAAGAGGTGTTTTACACGTATTTGAATTACTGTTCTCCACGCCAATTCCTGAACTGTTTTCAGAATTATGTACAACAGCAGTACTTTTACTTGACTTTATAGAACAGTTTTCCAGAGTTCTGATACCACCATATGAGTTACTGTCTCCGCCCAGAGATATTTCACCACACGTTGAGATCAGCACATTTGCAGCTACATCACATTCCATTCTGAGATCTACCAATTGAATTTCAGCAAGTCTGTTTGGCTCTTCACTTTGAATGGTATCATTTTTATCATCAACATATAAACTACCTGACTGTCCTGTTACAGTTGTACTCATATCTGACAGTAACAAATCCTGAATGTTGCTTTTCTTGCAGGATAAATCACACACATTTTCTCCTTTTTCAGATTTTGTACCTTGCTGCTCATAATCCTTATGATGCCAAGTAATATTCTCAACTTCATTTTTGTACTTCTCTTCGTTAGCATTAAGAATTGACTCTTGTTTTAAATCACTGTTCTGTTCTACTTTCTTCCAGTCACTGACAGGACGTTGATTTGCCAGCAAACATGCCAATACTTCCACTGTTTTACCAAGTCCCATCTCATCTGCCAAGATGCCACCAGTTGGCAATTTTACAGATTTGGGTTTCTCCACTGTTATGTATCCTGCATATCTGTTATAGAACAAAAGCTGCCCATCAGGTGTTACCAGCTCTGTATACAGGCAGTGCAATTCATCTGAAAAAGAAAGCATGAATCAATCAACATACAGCGTCTTCTGACCGAATATCAATTCCAAGTACAGTTTCAACATAATAATTCTCATTAACATTTTTTTCAAGCACCCTGTGGCAAATTCAACAATTTACTTTCATGTTATGGAAAAAGAAGTTAAAAATTAATATTTTTAATGCCTCCACCTTCAACCCTAAAGCGGCCCATCCACGTACGAGTCTGTCTTGCGAGTCCGCCTCGGCTCGGGTTCCATTGAGCCAAACTCGTTTGTGGGTGGGGTGTCACAAACCATCTGCTATGCATGTGTGGTGAAATATATCCGAGCCCAGCTCGCCGAGCCAGACTCGCAAGTCAGACTCGTACGTGGATGAGCCGCTTAAGACTGAAGATTGAGACAGTATTATACTTCTGAAACCTTGAAGATGACATTGCATTACTACCAAGAAAACCAATATCAACACCATTACTGTGATGACAACCTCAAATTTCAAATGTAATTTAAGTGATCTTCTCATACCTCGATTCAGAACTTTACTGTAATTATGCCATCATGGTGGATGGTGGCAATATGCTCTCTGACTTGATATAATAGACTTATACTACTAAGTACTTACCATCAGAGGTATGGTCAGTTACAGATTCTCTACAAAGCATCCATTTCACAGCTTGACTCTGATATGGACGTAATCTTGGTACTAGGCTGGCATGCTGTATGAATGACAATTCATCACTTGGTACTTCATTATGGTGTTCCTTAACAGCTCGGTACAGAGCTTCAATATCATTCTTCCTCACTTCTCTAACGCCATCATACACTTTAAACAAAAAGTTTATCTTATAAGGTTTTGAAGAGTACCTATATTGCAGTACACTGCATCATATGGTGTTATACATTATCAATAACGTAGCTTTATTATCAAAGTAACATATTCTATTAGAGAATTTCCACTTGTGTTTAATTTCTGGATGGAAATAACTTGTCTAGAATTAGAGATAAAATTAATAAATGTTCATCTGTAATGAAACTACCATAATCACTGTTAAGCATACTTTTATGCAAACTACATATTGCTAGTAGTCTGTGCTGCAATCTGTGATAATACTGAGACCTAGAGATCAGTCAAAATACTTTTTACTAATTCAAACAGAAGGTACATCAGTAACAAATTATGATCAGTTTCATGTGTGGGCAATATTCTATGCTACTTGATGGTGCAGAAGGATGTAAATGGGTAACATATATGAATATAACGTGAAATCAAAATTAGCAACGAAGTGACATTACAGCTTTATGTAATAAATCATTTTACAGTGTTTCCAAATTTAAACACCTGGGAACAAGAATGAAAATGAAATTAGAAAATGCATAAATTGTTTGTCACCATTAATTTCAAGTAACTCAGAAATTTTGGATTTTCACACATTTACTGGGAGGCATTTATAATCAGACTGTAATTAAATGCCAGGACCCAAATCCCAACTTACAAAGAGTGGTGTACTATATCGGGGTTTTTTAGCAGTAGAAGTATTAAATTGTATTAACAAATGGAAAACCATAATTTTGGCAGTTTATGATCTGAATAAGGAACTTCATGGTTTATACTGGTCATATTGTACTGTCAGAACAATGAAATCTAGGATATGAAGAGTTGGGCTTGTAGTATGAATTAAGACAAAGAATTGGTAAAATGTTGGTGGTAAACATTTAATAGACTAATAAATTAATGTTTTTGCCACTGATGATGACCTCATAAGGTCGAAACGCATTTGGCACTAAGTGTTTTTCAAAGTGTAAACAGTTTTGTTTGTATGCATGATTTTATATATTTCAGATAAATATTCAACAATGCACAGTATGCAAGGTTTTAGCTTCTAGCATGGAAATCTGCCTTTAATTAAGAACATTATATTACTAAGCAATTCCATCAATATCCTATAGCATAAACAAACCTGGAGTTATGATGCCATAAAAATGTGAAATGACAGCCTGGAAGTCCTGGTTTGTGCTTCTTTGCTTCACTTCCCAGTGAGACATTGGTCCTCGACAATGTGATTCACGGAACAGAACATTTACATTTAGATGATGTGTTTCTTGAATGAATCCTCCAAATGTTAACAAAAAGCAACGAAGGGCTAAACCTAAAAATAATTACAATTAAAGTAAGAAATTAATAATAGATGATACCTACAATCACCACACCAGACTGTGTAGAAGGTGATTATTTTTAAGTACTTTTGAAGTGGCACTCAAGGACTGAAGTTGGGTTCATAGTAAACAAAACTGTGGAGATGTACCTCAGGATATGATTATATGCTCAGTTTCATTATTCTTTGTGACTTCTTCACTTTCAATCCACACATCATCATGATGATAATGACAATGGTATATTATTACAGAGAACAGCATATGCATGACATGCATCGCAATTCATTAATTTCTGTATTAAGAGGGTGAAGGATAGGAAATTCATCATAAATATTATTTCAGTATTTTATGACTTGTGACACAGTGATTAACACTGCTGCCTTCTGCCCCAAGTACAGAGAAGAACAGTCAGGAGAGTGACTACTTCCATTTGTGTTTTACATGGTTCTGTCCAGTTCCTCCATGCGAATTTCAGACAGTATCTTAGTTACAAATGTTTCCTGCTTCGTCCTTTAATATGTGCATGTTCAGTTGATCGTGAGTGTTGGCATCATAATCGTTATACCTCAATATTCTGAGCAGATGGGAAAACATGCATAGCAAAATTATGTGTGCTTTTCTTATTATTACTGAACGAAGCATTCACTTTGAAATGAATGAATAACTTTATTATTACACGACTAAAGAACATGATTATGAATTAAGCTATTATTCATCGTATAAATATTTTCGTGCCAAAACTGAAAATATGCATTACCTGAGAAGAACTGAATATCCAAGGTTCCATCAATAAGAAAATAAGTAACACCATCAGGACACTCACTATACAGAAGACTACGATTCGGGAATTCACTGACATACAGCCAACATTCGCCATTCGTTGGGAAAACAACAGAGTTTGTTTGTAAAACTAATGATACTGTTCCCAACTTAAATGCACGCTCATTAGTGTTTCCTTCCAGCTCCTTTCTGAGTGATAAATAAAATGCACAACCAGTTAAGAGTTCCCTTAAACATACATCATTCACTTCTTCTTCGAGTACAGATTTCCTACGAAGACGCTTCCTGTTAAGTTTTTCCTTTGTTGCATGGCCATCAACGTAAAGTATGGATCCAGCACCATGATTGCTGTCAACATTTCCAACATGACCTAGCAATGGTTCAGAACCTGACAAGTCCCATGTTAATTCGGATCTACGTTCTTCAGTCAGACGTTGGGGAACAACAGACTTTATTTTCACCATTCTGATGAAATTTGTTCTTGTGAACGCAACCAATTTAAACCGTCATCATACGTCAGTTGTTCATCGAACTCATCCTAACCTACAACAGTATGTCGCTCTGTAAGGCTTCCTGACCGAAGACCGAAGAAAAACTTGGTACTGTTCCGAAATTTCACAGTCGACAGGATTTATTTCCAAAAAATGTAACATTTTCACTCATAGTAACACCAATACGCAGTATGTCTACTGGCATCCAGAACTAGCCGCTATATTAATCGTTTCAATATACGATTCCACACACTTTGCAACTCAAACAATGCTGTTATGCAATAACCAGTGAAACAATGGACCAAAGCATTATAAATCCTTAAAATTCTCGCCGTTTCATACACCAATTTATCACGAAAGCAGTGACAACTGATCAAAATCGCCATCAGCTGATGAGAATATTACCAACTCACATCTGAAACATGCCATGGTAGGAAAAAGTAAGATGTTGAAAAATGGATGGATGAAAATTGAGCAGAATTTTAATATGACGTCAATTTCAAGTTTTGTAAGAAAAAAATCACTTCGTACAATTTTTGTGCAAGTGTAGTTATTATTTGTAATGGATAACAAATTTTTCAAACTTACATATCCACAACACAAATACTAGATACAGATGTAACCTTCATGTGCCAAATACCAACCTCAATGAACATCAAAACATCCTTCCAGTATCAAAAGTTTGAATCATGATATAAAAAAGTTTAAACTAGCACTAAGAAGGCATCTTATATTTCCTGCTCAGTAGAAGAATTAACCTCAGTCAAACATTCAGAGTTTCTATAAATACATCTAGCAGTAGTGATGTTTGTGTAATACAGTAGATGGTAAATCACTAACGTCACAACACCTGTGCGTCATGATCTCACTTATATGCACCATGCTTCAACCACACAACGACTGGTGTTACTGATGTATTGTTGGTGTCTTGTGTTTGTGTAATCCATACGTACACGTGAGGAAAAGCTGTGCCAAAATCATTGGTTGTACAAGTTGATTAAACTAAAAAGTATGGTGTAAATATTAGAGCATTGAGGTATCAATTATTGCTGGTAAAGGAAAGAAAAATTGTGAATTACTACTAATATGGAAAGGCGAAGAAATCGGGGACTTGAATTAGGCGTAATATTACTGCTTGCAGAATTGATGAATGTTGGCTTTGATCATATTCCACCAATTACTTTATGTACAATAGCAGGACAGGTAAGGTTGTGTTTATGGTTCACATTCCTCTGAATATAGTGAAACTGGTAAAATGTTCAAGACAAAGATATATTAGTGATCCATTCACAATGGGTGAATTTGTAATTTCATATATGATTGAAAATTTCAGGTGACAATGTAGTTGTGTTTTTGGGCAGTAAGCTCTGTCAGTACAGAATACAGATTACTAACATAGGTGTTGAATGAGTTTCCATCATTTTGGAGACTGTGCCTCTATCATCAGGAATTAATGTTGCAAGTTATGCATCTGGTCACTATCATACATACACTTGGCTATTGGAGAATAGTTGTTGGAGTTACCATTTACTCATTCTGCCTAGGGACACAGTTAGTGTTGCTGAACGTGAAATGTCTTGAATGTTAATTATCATTAACCCTTCCTTTTATTGTTAGTGTTTGGTTGTCAGTGGCCCTGTGCTATTTGAGTACTGGTAGCCAGGTTCCAGAGTTGACTTCAACTGAAAGCCATAACTGTGTTGAACTTATAGGGATACAACTGGATCTCAGTGGCCATTTTTACTGTACAATATAGTCAGTACTTTGGTCTCCTCAAAGTTGATGTCCTGATTAGACATTACATTCAGCCATTGTCAACTTGTTCAATTAGAATAGATGTATGAGTTGTTAATGTTCCTTGCATATGCACCTGAGTAATCTTTCAATATCACATTTTCTTGTACCAAAACAAGAAACACATTCTTTGTTTATAATTATTCAGTGAATCTTCGTAAATATATGGACATATTAGTTTTCCATTGCTCCATCTGTGAAAACCTCACATTTTATCCAAGGGTATGTTTCCAAATATATTCAGTTAGGACATTTTCTTCTTTATCTGTGTATATTTAATGTATCTTCATTTGTTTTCCTCTCTAGGTTCTGTTATATATGGGTGTTATAAATGTCCCATGGGAAAAATGGGACATTTGCATCAGTGCAGAGTCAGTTTTAAAACACCATGACTATAAACGGCTTTTTTTCTCTACTTTTGAACATGGAGATGATATGCATCTGTACTACAATATGATTTCTTTTTTGGTAAAAGGTCGATCACTAGAACGTCGCTATGGAAGTACCAATTTTGCTTTTCTGCTGCTTATGATCTCAGCTTTAACCAGTGTAATCTATGTGGTACTTGGTCAATTGTTGACTAAAACTCTGCAGGATGAGTATTACATGAAGACGTGTGCAATTGGATTTTCAGGTAACCAGGTATTTTGTTTACAGTTTTAAAGTTTCCTTTGGAACTAAATCAGATTATTTCAGTAGTGATCTTCTAGGTTGTTATCAACATTTTGGAGGATCGTACCAGTTCCATATTCCATATTATTACATTTCAGCAAGAGAAGAGTATTTTGCTGTTTATGTAACTGAGCAAACAGGTTTTGGAAAATCAGTTATATTTTAACTTAAAAGGAGAATTTTGACTGTTGACTTAAGTAAAGAACAAAAATACTCATTCCAGTTTCCATAAAGTGGTTGCAGTGTAAATTAATTTTGCATTTCAACATTGGTCTTTGCATGGAAAAGCAACTTGTGAATTTGGCTGTACCACCAAATAAATTGCTAGGATGTCAGTGTTAGGCGCCAGTGAATTTGTTTTGGTTTTTAAACAGCAACATATGCAATATGTTTATTGAAATTTATATATCCTGTGTTTATCTTTGTCATGCTTTCTTTTGTTTCCTTTATGTAGGAGTGATATTTGCACTGAAGGTATTGACTAGTAGTGAGACTCCACGAGGCAGAGAATTTGTGGGTGGTTTGTGGGTTCCAACACGCTATGCAGCTTGGATTGAATTAATATTAATCCATTTACTTGTGCCAAATGCTTCCTTCATGGGTCATTTGGCTGGGATTTTGGCAGGTGTGATCTACACGAGCACACCTGTTGGAACAATAGCAGATGAATTCATCTCATTATTAACAGGTGTGTATGCATTGTTGATGAATATATGAGCTAGGTAGGGATTTTTTTTCAGTCTTTCCAGGGTTAATTTCTTTGTTTAATACACCATTGTCAGATGACAATGAAGCAATCAGCCAACATTTTATCACCTTACATGTAGCTGACCTTGGGACCTAGATTTTTTGGAATGTGGAAGTATCAGTATTCCACCATTGCTCATAGCCCACATGACCTCCTGTGCTTGTCATCATTTGGATTAGCTTTCATGTGGAATATAATTAATTTCATGGAACCTTCTACATCAAAGCAGATTATTTCAGAAGAAACAGAATTATTTGTGTGTCAGAAGCATCGAGACTGTTTTATCTTCTATCAGTAAGTTAATTCAGGCGGGAGTATAATGTGTATTCCATTTTCAATTACATATATTTTCCAAATGTTGTCTTTGCAATTTTATATGCCTTTTTGGCCTTTTTATTCACTTATTGCTGATGCAAATCTCGTAGCACGGCACAAAATAGTTCTTGTATTAAGTGAATAATCTTATTTAAATCTTGTATAATATGTCTCTCTGAAAGAATTGAATTCCTATTGAATTCCTTTACTGCAATAATCTTTTTTTAATACCTTTCTGTTTCCACATGCTAGGATATCATATTTAAATCTTGAATTAATATTATGTATGTATTCAATCACATTCATTATCTAACCATTTCAGTTTACTTAATTTATCACAGCTGGGTGCTGTTTTCTCATAACTGTATTTTTTTTGTCAATGTAAAGTGAACTCGCGCACATGCACACACACATTTTTAATATAATGCTCTACCTTCATGTGAAATAAATAAATTAAACAGTGATAAGGAATTATTTACTTTGAAACCTTTCAAGTAATGTGACTCATGTTTTGATTTCTTTTGCAGGAGAACGAATAATACATGGTGTAAGTTATTACCAGTCGTACACATTCTCATAACAGGAACTTACATATTTTTTTTCTATTTTGTGTGAATTGGAAATAAGTAATGGTTTTTTTCCATATGTATTATAGTTAAAGAATTTAATAATAAGTTATGATTTTTTATATTGTATGAACAGGGTATTTGATGTAATGAAGAAACAGAAAACAAGATGAACAGAATAGTGAAAGCTGTATATGTTTTATAAAACTACTTATATTTCAAATGTCCAAATTTTAAAAGTAGCCAACATCATTTAATATACTCAATGTAGCATAATGTTATCAGCATTTCCTTAATTTTTTCATATAGTATGAAATTTATGGTGTTTTGAATTGCCAAAACTTTTAAATTACTTTAAGTATATCAATGAAATGCATCTGTTCAAGATTTTCCATTCAGAAAATATGTTTTCTGACTTGTTTAAAAGTTGTAATATGCTGTGTTATAGATGCTAAGGATGACAATAAAGAAGTTGTTGCTGCATATAATTTATTCCACAGGTATCTTGAGTTTCTGTGCTGTTTGTTTTTGTGTTTTGTATTATAATTTCTTGCAATCTCAGTTGTTCCCTACCACCTGAAAAAAGGTCATGGACCACATTGGGAACCTCTGTAGCAGAACATTTTTCAGGCTTCTTATTTTAATAATAATGAGATTTATAACATTTTGTGATACCCTGTAAAAGAGAAGCATGGAAAACTAGGAATAAAATATTGTTTCTCATGTTTTAAACGTCCCAAGAGATGTATTCCTATAGCCTGAAGCAGGGTGACATGATAGATTTGTTTTTCCTAATACATACTCAGCATTTCATTTCCCCTTCATGTACATGAAGTATAGTGGAGAGACTTCTGTGTTACAGAACAATACTAAACAGTTGCAGGAACTTGTGTGCACTCATCATTGTCAAATGATGGTAATGATTGCAGAGTAAATTGATATTTCTGTTAGTAATTTTTGTACCATTCTCAGTAAGGATCTGAAGATGCATGGCATCTGCCAAAACATTGTTTCAAGATTGCTCATATAATACAGGTAATATGATTGTATCAGAGTAAGTGGAGTGCTCATCAGTGCAACATGGAATGACCCAGAATTTCTCCAAAAGTGATGTAATCAGGTGTTTCTGTAAAATTCTCAAACAGTGGTTTTTGTGCAAGTATGAGTTTCTGGTAGGATCGCTCAAAAGGGAAGTTGATGTTGAAAGTCTTGACTGTCAAATCATGTGTTTGAGAGTGGTCAACAAGGGGAGAGAGAATAAAGTGCTTGTATGTCTGTGAGAGGCATTTTTCCAGACATGTCCCAAAATGTGAACACCTAAGGACCAAGTGTTTGTGCATGATAAAGCACTGTGGTATGTTTATTTATGGTTGTGTGGCAGCAGACATCACAACCAGTCTGATCCCTTGATTTTGCTAAATAAAACATGTCATATCTTATTCAAAAGCGATTGTGTAAGAAACGTAGGAAGTAAAGGTAATAATGGTTACAGGGTAAACATGAGTTTTTATTTGTGACTGAAATGGTAATTTATTTACCCATGCATCTCTAACATGCGGGTAAATTTCTGTGATCAGTGGTTTAACTTGGAAGAAAGGAAATTTGATGAAATGACTAGTGGCGAACTTGGATCTTTATGCGACGAAACAATAGAAGGTGGTTTTTAAGATGCGCAAGAGATGAATGTAGGTAGTTTCTTTATGTGTAAGTTAATGTAGTAACTTCAAAATACAGTCGATTTAGGTAATGTCACTTGCTGTAGTACACGGCGAAATGACAGTGAAGTGTTTATACTAAATTTGTTTGATGTACAGTAGTTCTACAGATCGGTAGAACGAATGGGATCATGCTCGATTTCCTTAACGTTACTTCATATGACTTCCATTTGACTGTTATACCGGCGAATGAAATATTAGGAATCTCATGTTTATAAAGCCATTTTACATTGGCGAGATTTTGTATTTTATAGTTGTCGCGGAATTTATTTGCACTTACGTACCGAGCATTATGCCTGATTTCTACTGAAATCAAGTCTCAAGTAGTGATCCACGTTATGTATCATATCCTCGCGTGTTGAAAATTTACAGGGTTTTCGTCATATTTAAGTTTAAAGTTCTCACAGTTAATGTTCACAAAGGCGGTTTTACACCAGAATTTCTGTACAAATATATTTATGAATTCTGTGCTTCCAGTACACGTATAAAGCGCCTACAGAATAATTAAATTTTAACTTTAATTTGTGAATGTAATATGAACAGGACATATCCTATGGGTTTTCTATAACTTTAGCGTCTCAGTAAAATTAATAATTACTTAAGGCAGTTTCTTTTGCATGATATTTTATATAACTACACAAATTACCACTTATGTCTGAACATTTCTGCATTTATTTAGATGTAAGTAATGGACACACAGGAATATATGAACATTTGTTTGTGTGTAAGAGATGTGTTTTCATAATTTCAGTAGAGCCACTGTACATTATAATTCGAATGATATGCATTATTGCTGTTGGGTCTACCTATGATATCCAAGACTGATCATGAGTAATAGTAGAAGTATGGATAGCAAAAGTGACATCCTGGATGCCACCAACATGAGGTTAGTGATTATGTTTGATTGTAAACTTGTTCTAAATTTTGCAAGCAATTTCTTACAATTAGAATAAAATTGGAGTATTCAATCCATCTTCATTCACTATGTGTTGCATTTGAGGCTCCAGATTCAGTTCTTGACTCTGATGCTGTCATTTCAGTTTGCTGTGGCTTTCCTCTGTTTTTTAGGGCAAATATTGAATAATTACTTAAAGTAGGCATAGGTACTTACTTCCGC